GTGAGATGGGTCTCCTGTAAGTAGCTTCCTTTTTAATCCATTTAGAGATGAGAGATGATATATATAGATGGGTAATTTACGTCCGTTAACTTTAGCGTTAGTTATGATAAGTATGTGGTGATTCCTCGTTCATTTAGTTGTCTTAGTTGTTTGAAGGTTTGATTGTGTGTACCTAAGTTGAGTTACTCTCTACTTTCTTGCTTTTTCTTTTCCTGCTGGTTTGGTGCGCCTGTCTTTTCATGGTTAAGTTGGGCTTTCAACTTTCCTGTGTGCAGAACTCCCTTGAAGATCCCTTTTGTAGTGGTGGCTTTGTGGCACATACTGTTTAGTTTCTGCTTATCATAAGAAGACTTTTATTGCTCCATCTATTTTGAATGATAGTTTTGCTGGGTAGAGTATCCTGGGTTGAAGTATTTTCATTCAGTGCCCGGAAGATCTCACCCCACGCTCTTCTTGCTTTTAATGTCTTCTGTTGAGAAGTCTGCTGTGATTTTGATGGTTTACCTTTGTATGTTACTTGTTTTTTCTCTCTTACAGCCTTCAATACTTCTTTCCTAGTTTTGAACTTGTTGTTTTAATGATGAATATGTCGTGGAGGTAGTTCTATTTTGATCTGGTCTGTTTGGTGGTCCTGGAAGGCCTCTTGCATCTGTATGGGATATCTTTCTCTAGATTTGGGCAATTTTCTGTTATTATTTTATGACATATATTATGCATCCCTTCGCTTGCACCTCTCTCCTTTTTCGATGCTTATGATTCTCAAGTTTGGTCTTTTGATGGATCGGTGAGTTCTTGCATTTTCTTTTCACAGGTCTTGAGTTGTTTAATTAATAGTTCTTTGGTTTTTTCCTTTAATTACCATTTCATCTTCAGTTCTGAATTGTGTCTTCTGTTGTTCTGTTCTGCTGGATTGGCCTTCGTTTTGTTTTGCACGTTCTGTTTCTCTTTTTTCTGAGGTTTTCCATATCCTGGCTGGTTTCCTCTTTAATGTTGTCTAGTTTTTGTCCTGAGTTCATTTATCTCGTTTTATTATTCTATTCTTCATTTCACTTTGGATGTTTATACGTGCTTCTATGGTTCCTTTATTTCTCCCTTTGGGCTTTTCAAATTCTCTATCTTTTGTTTGTCTTGAATTCTTGAGTGTTCCTGGTACATTTTGGTAACCTATGTTCTTTATATAAGATTCTCATTGAGTATCTGTATATGTCTTCTTTTAAATTATTCTGTGGGCTTCATTGGGCCTTTGCATAGTTTATCTTCATTTTGTTGGAGTCTGGATCTGAGTTTCTGTTTTCTTATTCCCTGTGGTTCCTGTACTAATTTTTTGCTGTGGGGAAACTGGTTTCCCTGTTTTGTCTGTCGTTCTTCCCATCATTGTCTTTGTGTTGTTACTGTCCCTGTACTGTGTGCAATTAAGTATTTTCTAGCTTGTAATAATAACAATGGTAATATTAGAATGGAAAGGGTGAGCTGAGATGGAAAGCAAGAAGTTAAAGAAAAGGAAAAACAAATAACAGACAAGAAGAGAAAAGCAGAAAAGGTCAAGACAAGAAAGTTTCAAGGTATAAACAGGGAGTGTTAGTGTACTAATCGACAGTAAGCTGAACAGACATTAGAGAGACAGAGAGAGGATTGAAAATCAAAGATAAAAAAATTAAAAAATAGTAAATGAAAGAAAATATCTATATAATATGAATTAAAATAAAATGGAAAATAGAAAATAAAAAAAAAAAACAAAAAACCTCCAAGTTCAAATGCAATGAAGTTTCAGTCTTAATAATTGGGTGGTCCGTCTCAGTCTCCAATCCTGGAGATGGTGCCTCAGATGTTGTTCTGTAGTTGTCTCATCAAGGGATGCATAAAGTAGAACAAAACTACACAACACAAAAAAAAGAAAAAAACACCCACCAAGTGTCCCAGTTCAAATGCAATACAGTTCAGTAAGTTTTTCAGCTTGCAGGTGTAATTCGGTTTTCTTCTCATAAGGAGGGAGAAAAAGAAAAAAAAGAAGAGTCTGGAGACAGTTCTGAGAATGGTATTCTGCAGCTGTGGTTTGCCTGCCTGCTGCTCTCAGCCTGCTGTTGCTGGCAGTTATTTATGCAGATCTCTGGGGTAGCTTAGCATCACTGGCCCCAGGCTTGTTTTTCAGAGTTCTCCTGTGCTGGAGCCTCTGCTACAGGCTTTCCCCTTTCCAAGCACTGGGAAAGGTGACAGTGCACCTGCGTTGTCAGGCCTGTGTGTTTATTTACAGTTCATGTCCAAGGTGGGTCTTTCCCCATCTCCTGTGCAGTTTTCCTCCCACCGCCACTTTCACAAGCTTTCCTCCCTGATTACTGGGTGGTGCTCCTGCCAGCCACCATGTTTGTTTACAGCTCATGTGGGAAGTGGGTCTTCCCTCCTCTCCTGTGGAGTTTTCCTCCCTCTGGCACTCTCACAAGCTTTTCTGCTCCTGGTTGCTGGGTGAGTGCCCCGCCCCCACTCCGCCAGAGCCTCTCCGGCCCGCCCGGCTCGTTTATTTACAGTCCCGGGAAGGATTCCCTTCCCCCAATCTTCAGCACTCAGTGCACCCACCTCTTTCCAGCGTGTGCTTAACTTAGTTCTCTTTTTTCCCCGGGTGGAGGTCAGTCTGTCAAGGGGGCTATGCTGCTCTGGCCCAGGCTTGTCTGTGGGAGTACTGCGGTACCGCGAAGCTTACCTGGTCCACGTCTTCCCAAGCCGTCTGGGCGCTGGCGACTGGTGGCTCCGGGGGCCCTCCTTGTTTCTCCGTTTAGCGTGAAGTGGAGATTCTCTGCGCCAGCTGGAGGTGTGGAGGGGTCGAAGTTATGCCTCTTCTCAGTGATTATGCCTGCAAAGTGTGTCTTTGGTGTCTCTCCAAGATTTCACTATAGGAGGCTCGCTTTCTGCTTCCTCCCTCTAGCTGCCATCTTGGAATCCTCCTCAATTTTAATGTTATTGTTTTCCAGCCATAGAAGTGGAATGCAACAGAGCATTTGACTAATGGACATTTCTTGTTAATTTATGGTCCTGTGGCTCCATGGGCATGGGTCCGTTTGTCACTGCAGTAGGGTCTGTAAAGCCCTGGCAGTTATTGCAATTTAGAGCCAAGTTGCAGTTTAAGAATGGCCTGCATTCCATCCATAGTTCTAAGTGTCTTTTATCTCTGAGCCATTGCAGATATGCAAGAGATGTTAAGTGTTGTGTAAGATAATGAAATACGGAGTAATGTGAAAGCCACGATCTCTGGCCTTGACAGAGATATAATTTAATACATCAAAAAAGAAAGATCAGTTCAAGTAAAGCAGACAGCACAATTGGAGCAAGTTGTGGCTCCCAACCTTCATTCACTGTCTAAAAGGAGTCACAGTTCCTATTTGAAGACTTTTCCTGGTAGCAGGTTTATAAGGAAGATCAGTAACCATTGGAAACAGAAATATCACATCCAGTGGAGTTCATTTGACTTCTTGCCTCCATTACCTTGTTTTCTTTTCTACACTGACAGCGCCAGCCCCATGATTGTGGTCTTGCACATAGGAAGACAGTAAAAGTGTGGGGCTGGGAAGTCTACAAATCTACTGGTACATGAAGCTTCTAACACCAAGATAAGTGGGCATTTTACCACCTAAGTTTCTTTCTATTTGCAGAACCACCGAAAGTCACCGTGATGCCCAAGAATCAGTCTTTCACAGGAGGTTCTGAGGTCTCTATCATGTGCTCTGCAGCAGGCTATCCTAAACCAAAGATTACCTGGACCATTAACGATATGTTTATAGTGGGTTCACACAGGTACTGGGTTTGTATCATGTTCTTTATTCTTATTGAATAGAAAAGTTGATGAAATTTTTGCATCAAATGAACCTGACCAAATTCTTACTATTAAAGGAAGTTTGATAAAAACCCATAGCTTTACACTTTACAACATAAATGATGATTTTACAGAATTTGAGGTTATTGAGTCTCAAATGAGCTAAGACCAAACAATGTCTTGAGTTGTAAACATAAGCCTTGACTTAACTTGAATAACTGAAATAAGATAATAAACTTTCTGCAAGAGAAAGTGTCATACACTAAATATGAGATTATCATGGTGTGTTGAATCTGTTAAAGTGAGTGTAGTGTGGGAGTCAGGGAAAGAACAAAAAAGGCAGTTCTTATTACAGAGTGTACAGACATTGTAGGTGACAATTTTCACTTTTGCCATACTACATGAAGAAGTATTTTCTTCTACTGGATACTTCTTAAAGACAGAATCTTTTCATGCTCAAAGAGAGTAATAAACAGCAGCTTCTAGTCATCAGACTTCTATTACTCTGGGCTCAGTATGAAGAGGAGGCTCAGGTCGGATCCAGCATCTGAATCAGATCCCATTCCTCACATTGTCAGAGACCCCACTGTGTGACACCAGGTATTGCATGGCGTAGGTTTTCATCACAATGAGCAAGACTGCCTGAGTGCAAATTCCAGTATTTCTATTTGTAACTCTGATTTTACAGGTTACGTAACCTGTTTGCTTATCTGGTGAAGTGGAGACACCAATATTATCTAAATCATTGTCTTTCTAGGAAGATTGAAAATGCTAAAGAATGGAAGGCTTCCAGCACAGTTCCTGGCATGCGGCTAGATCTGGATATGCGATATCTACTGCTACTACTACTACTATTGTTATTACTACATTTCTGATTGTAAAATGATGCTAGTCCTTGTGTAATCAATACCAAAAACATAACTCTAAAATATTTTAAAGAGAGGTACTATATTCTCTAATGTAATACTACTATTATGGTATTTTAAATTTTGTTTTCCTTTTTCATCCACAGATATAGGATGACCTCAGAAGGTACTTTATTTATCCAAAATGCAGTTCCCAAAGATGCAGGGATCTATGGTTGCCTGGCAAGTAATTCAGCTGGAACAGATAAACAGACTTCTACCCTCAGATACATTGGTAAGTATCATCATGTTAAAAAGCAATTAGAATAGGGTGAATATCATATCTAGCAATGTAAAAGTACCTTTCTTGAAAATTAATTTTAAGAATAAGTCATATCTAATGTTATAATTTATTATTCACTGTGCATATGGATTAAAGGAAAAATTATAACTAGTTTAATTTAAAAGTTCAGGGAGTGAGTAGCTTCATTAGTCAACAGAATCAAAAAAGCTTCCGGATGATGAAAAAGTGCAGACTGTCCACAGAGTTTTGTCCTTCTATGGCTCATCTGTTCTTGGCCATCTGTTACTTTCAAATCAATAAGTTCCTACCCTGTCTGACTTACTTCAACTCAGAACTGGGTATCACATTATTTTCACTTTTTGCTTAAAATCTCCCCCCTCCAAACTTAATTATTTATGAAAGGCATACTTCATGATATCATCCAATAGAATATTTCTATTTAATGTGGTCTTCCTTTGTCCTAAAATGAATGAAAAAATCACGTACTCAGGGTCAGCTTGTAAATTACAAACAATGAATGGCTAGCAATCCACACTTTTACTTGCTCTAATTTAACCTCGTTCATTGTAACATAATATTAAAACAGTCAGTGCAGGGAAAGAAGTGTAAAAGAGTCACAAGGACCATAGACATGTGTACATGAGGGAGGGAACAGAAGTGTCATAAATGTTGACCCTGTGATCCTAGGAAGAAGTTATCTTAAGGAAGGTGCACAGTGAATCCTTTTATAAGGGAAGATAGATTCAGATTTAGGGGTGATTGAATTTTAAATGTTCACAGATCCCAGGTAGAGAGTTAATGATGAGACTGTGGAATAAATGATCAAAACAGAATTTTATAGTGCAAAACAAATTTTGGTTAATTCACATAGAAGCCAAACTATTCAGCACATTTATTTAATGTCCTAAGGACCCAGCATATGTAAAATGTTTTGCCAGACTATGGAGTGTAAAAATAAAAACACAAAAATGTAGTCATAATAGTCCTTACCTTTCATGAAATTGCATACTGGGAGTGGGTATATGAAGAATATTACACAGCAGACAGGCAAGTACCACAGTGAGAGGTTGGCAGAAGGGAAGATTAATTCTGACTGGGGAATTTGTAAAGACTTCCCAAAGGAGACAGGAGTTAAGCTAAGTTTGAAAGAATGAGTGGAATTTGAATAGTTCTGGCAAAGGGCATTTCCAGAAGAGGAAACAGCCAAGGCAGGTTGATAAGAGAATTAATTGTGCGGTATTTTGGGCTACCAGTGTAGCTCTACACTTTGTGATAACTAGGCAAGTATAGTGGAGGGAAAGTTAAAAGAAAACTATACACCAGATTGTGATTTTTAAGAGCTAAACTATGAAATTACGAAAGCAGTGGGGCTCACTGAAGGTTTTCTAGGAAGGGAGTGGTGTGGTCTTTGAGAAGTTAACTTAGCTTTGTTTAAAATTCCCCCAGTTGTTAGGAAGTCCTAAATGTCCGGATAAGGGAAAATGTGTCAAGGAATAAAGAAACAGAGCTAAGGAAAAAATACATTAGAGAGGTTAAGGAAAGAAAGACATTACATATTGTATCAGAGGATGTCTACAGTTAGCATCACAGGAAAAGTAGGGTAAAAACTGGGAGACTATTTCTTGTAGATGCCACTGTTAGTCTTGGACTCAAAATAATTCTTTGTAGTTGGTCATGAATATCCTTTAAATCATATAGAAAATGTTATTAAGTTCATATGCAATTGTTTTATCCGCACATCTTAATTTAGTCAAGCCAGTGTTATCATCATCCATCTTTTGACTCTGCTTTTATTACAGTTATTTCTCTTTTCCCTTAGTATTGTTGGTATGAAATATGTTCAGCTTTTCAAACTTTTTCTTTCCTTATGTACCTCTTTTCATGAAGACTTTTCAATTAATTTTCTAATTTTTTGAAAATTATTCTGAAATTAAAATTTTATACTTTAGTCATTACTTTTGCCTAATATCCTTTTTTGTCCCTAACAAGTGATATTTTCATCATATATATCTATATGCATGTGAATTGTAGTTTCTTTCTCTCTATAAACATGGAAATAGACACACACACACACACACACACACTGTTTGTTTGTTTTTAACTGATTCATTTAGAAAACATAAAGTCCACATGGTATTGTGCTTGACATTGAGTATTTGCATGCTTGCGTTTTTCAGAAGCCCCAAAGTTGATTGTGGTCCAGAGTGAACTCTTGGTTGCTCTTGGGGATACCACAGTTATGGAATGCAAAACCTCTGGGGTTCCTCCACCTCAAGTTAAGTGGTTCAAAGGTACATTTCTTCAGTATGTTCATGTCTTGTTCACTTGGTTTTGTTTTCTTTTTCTAAAAAAATGATTTGTTAAAAATTTGTTTTGGTGTGTGACTGAGCAGCCCCATAAAATGTGTTTATGATCTCACTGGAGACAATAGTTCAAAATTCTGCACTCTCCATTTCAGGATTTGACATCTGGTATGGATTACAGGACCATGAAAATCAAAGCAGGAAAAGTCTGCCTTTGCTAATCCAGCTGAACATTCTCTTTGTTAGTTCAGGATTGTTTCCTGTAGAAAAGTATCCAAGAATATTTGGTTAATGTTTCAAATAGCTTCACCAGTATTTGTTCACTTTTCTTAGAGATGATAGTTCTTGCCATTAAAAAGTTTTTTGGATCCTCAGGGATGCTTTCTATAAAGTGTTCAACTAAAGACACACCTTGAGGCTTATAGGGAATTGGAAGATAAATGTATGTTTTGGGCAGTGTCATCAGGCATGGTAGATGCTAGTATGAAGTAGAGAAGTTAGCTTTCTATATTTGTAACATAAAAGATTATACCCCTGTGGTTCTATAATAAAATAATAGTGACGTCCTACTTGGCCTTAGTGAGAAGAATTTAGATCTTGGTCCACATTCAGATGTTGACAGTAGTTATCTGGGTAAAAACCCTTGCTTCTGTTTCTGTCTCAATCCTTCCAATTTATAAGACAAAAAAGAAAAGAAAGTCCTGCAAGCACCCTAACAGAAAGGTTGCTAGGGTTATTGAGAGGCTGTTTGCAAAATACTTTTAATTTTCAGATGAAAAATGCTAAATAGTACAAAGCACTATTGTTATGATTCTGTTTGCTAAATCATACATGCTCCCATAGCAACAGACTGATGTCATAGTCACAAAATTATGAATTCACCTCGGGTTCAGATTCTTTGGGAACATGAGGTGAAAAGGAAAGGCTTTATGTAGAACACAAATATTTTTAAATAATCTAAATCAAAAGCAGGGAGGGAAGCTGGGAATAATGCAGTTTCATGTTAAAAGAGTTTTAGTCTTCATGTTGTCCCTGACAAGAGGCATTTCTGAATTTGCTCTTTAATCAAGTTTATTGCAATTAGCATAAATTAATTTTATTTAAAATACTTAAGTATTTGAATTGCCTAATAAATAAATATTAATTTCAAATTCAGATTATAATTAAATATATCCAAAAAAGGTTATGGAAACACTTTTAAAAATGTGTTTCAGTAGTTTTAATGACAAAAAAATTCAAAAAGTAATAGGATATGTTGATTTCTCTGCTTGCATAGAATCACATATAAATCTTTTGTTCTCCAAAACTGGGCTGGCTGTTGCTCATCTTAGTCCCACAAATAGCTTGAAACTACAGACAGGGTGCGAGCCATGTAGCCACCATGTGGAAGAGTCTGGAATTTGCATATTACTTTTTTCTCTTAACCATGGGTATTGCAGTTTGGTGGGTCCAATAAATAACATCCCATTTTCCTGTCCAAGTTATGAACCAACAGATACAGAATGTGGGCACAGATCACATTTGGAAGACATGTTCCCAATACCCTAGGATCAGGCCAACTTATCCTCCTAGTCACAGGCAGGCACTGGTTGAATAAGCAGAGTCAGGACCCCCAAAATTAAAACTAAAAGACAAACTCCTCTTTATGCAGACTGGATACAAGATGAAGGGGTTGGGGAAGGTAGGCCGTTCTGTCCTACCTCTGCTTAGGATAAGACACCGGGGACTTTATCGAAACTATAAGGGTGAAGAAAGGAGTTCCTGCCTTTACCTTAAGAGTGACTTTTTCTTTATACCTTTGTTCGGGCGATTCTGATTAAATACAGTTGTATTTAAAAGAAAAACCAACAACAAGAGTATTCCATTCAGATAATCTGAGGGGAAAAAATTTCATGAGCATAAGTTCTCTCCAAAATTTTAGACTTTTTGTTTTTAGAAATTAGCAACATAAAGTAGGCTCAAAGAAGAATAAAGGGTACTATTAAAACCTCATGTAAAGAACATTTGTGCTAAAATATTAAATAGGATTTATTTATTTAGATTTGTGGTAATTAAAACACAGTTTAAAATATTGGGGGCTCCTCACCATTCTTTCAGGGATCCATGTGCTCAACATCATAATAATACCATGATGTGATTTGTCTGTTTCACCCTCATCTTAGACATGAGTGCTGTAGTTTCTGGAGGCTGTGTGTTGTGTGATACCCAATAAAGAGAATGCAGAAACAAATTGGAGCACTCAGCTCTCTTTCATTAAGCTAGACGTTAGACATTATGGAAATTTGCAAAAACATGAAACAATTCCACTCTTCTTACTAATTTTTTCTTGTTTTGGAAAATAATATTTTCTCACAAAATATGTTTATCATGTTAAGCTGACATGAGTTATTTTAGAATTTTTCAGTTTGATTTCTACAGTGCTGAATGCAAATACATATAATCCACAAAACAAAAATTCATTGGAGTATCGAATAACTTTAAACAGTACACTTATGGGATCTTGAGGTAAACATGGTTGATAACCACCTAATTATCATCTGTTATTTGAAAGGGTCATATGTCAGGGTAATGATCTCACTGTTGGTCTTTATGTCATGGTGACCAGAATTGAATTTAAAGTATAGCAGAGAGAAAATCCTCCTTAGTGGTAATGATAGTGGCAATGATAGTTAAATCCTAGATTATACTGGAGTTTATATATTTCACTATAAATAATGTTCTTATTGTATATATTATTAAAACTAAGTGATCCCTACTTCATCTCCCTCCAAAAGATTATTTCTGTACAGCTTCTCAACAGTCTAATGACTTATTTCTCAGTAGAAATCAAAAAAGGAAAGGCTATAATATGTGATCAAAGTGCAAACTTGATTGAACTAGTATTTTCCAATTTATATTTTGTTTCATGGTTACTAGTTTTAAAACATTTTTATTTTGAAAAAAAAAGCTACTAGCAAAAGATCTTTATTTCCTCTTCTGACAAATGCTGTGTGCTCTGACATGTACAGAGGAACTATAAGGGAAAACTGAATTCTAAAAATCTAAATGCATTCTAGTCCAAACACTTTGATGAGCCGCAAGGTCACATTGCATCCTCCCTTGGAGAGAGGAAAGTTTATGTCAACATCATCTGCTTTTATTTATGAAAATCTCCCAGAGGCACATAGATATAGCTTTAGTTGCCTCTCTTACTCTCAAGTGGTATGCAGTAGCAAGCTTAGAAGGATGATTAGTGTTTTTAAATATTGGAACGCTGGAAAATACTTTGTTTTTGGAACTGACGGTTGCTAATGCAACTATTTCTTGTTTTTAAATTTAGAGTTCCTTTGACCTCCTCTCTTCAGAAAATTATATAAACAAAAAGAGAATTGTCTGTTGTCCTGAGTCTGTTGGTTGGTGCTGTTTGCTAGAGAATCACTAATTCCTGGGCTCTTTGCTTATCAAAAGCAAAGGGAGTTGCTTCTTTGGTTCTCAGACTCAGGGAACATGACTGGTATGAGATGTTTTGGAAAGTACCTTTTCACACGCCACATTTGACTGTGCTATGAAATCCTAAGGACGATGATCTTTGAACATCTTGGAAGACTTTAGGATACTCACATGTTTTCCATCACTACTTAGAAAACAATTAAAAAAAAAGATGTGGACACCAACCTGGTATTATTTATCCAGATAGTGGTCATCCTGGTTAGGTTCATGCTTTGGAGGGGATGTAAAGAGACTTGTAACCTAAATTGCAGCTTTGTTGAGGTGTTGTCTGTCTTTAAATGAGTTTGGGGGAATTTGAGGTGCTGCAGGGACACATAGCATGTATAAGTAACCTAGACATAACTAGTCTTTTTTTGGTTCATTCTGCCCTCACATTGAGGCCAAACTCAGTATGTAATTTTGTCTGTCATATACTTATTCCCCAACTACTTCCTCCAAAATCCCCCAAAACTCCAATTTCAAGAGATGTAATGAAAAATACAGATTTTAGTTGTAGTCCTGGGAGATTAATATTCCAAAATTCATCAGCCATTCGTCAGACGTTTCTCTTCTCTTCTCCCAGCAAGCTTTTCCCTTGTCTCTCCAGCTAGCTGTGGTTCCTTTCTCCTTTGCCATGCTTAGAATTTTCTTAGCTTATACTTCTCACATGACAAAATCTAACTGATAGCATTCAGCAAACAAAAACCCTGGTCATTAGCCAAACTAAGAACACCTTCATTCTCTCAAGCATTTTCTGGGTATCTAATGGAAATGTATCTTGCCACAAAGATGGTAGAAACCTCTTTCCATCTCTCATCTTCCTTCTCACTTCTTTCCAGACAGAACCACTGTTCCAACTGCCAGCCTCTTCTGGTTCCCCATGTAGCTTCAAAGAGATCATTCTTGTTTAGGTACATATGCAGATATAAATAGGAAACACTTGATTACAAGGCCAAATTTTAGACTATAGGAAGTGTGTATTGTGCAAGACACTTGTATGTAGAAACTTTGCAACCAACTTTATTCAGAAGTTTTGAAATTGAACCACTAGTTGAGCATACTATGTAAATACTTTAGTGTTTAATGTTCTTCCCTTTGTTTTGACTTAGGAGATCTTGAGTTGAGGCCCTCAGCGTTCCTCATTATTGACCCTCTCTTGGGACTTTTGAAGATTCAAGAAACACAGGATCTGGATGCTGGGGATTACACATGTATAGCCATCAACGATGCTGGAAGAGCCACGGGCAAGATTACTCTGGATGTTGGCTGTAAGTGTCCAGATCTGATAGGGCAATTTGTGTGCAGCTGTCCTGCTATGTTTCCATGTTTAATAACTTTGAACAGTTTGGTAGGAATATTTCTCAGAATGACAAAACTGCAGTTGAGGGTTTCAGGTTATTCATATAATAATGGTGGTTCGCATTTTCTGGATGCTTTCTATGTACCATTCATTGTGCCAAGAACTTTTTATGGGTTATCTCATTAAACCTGCATAACAATCCTAAGAGGAAGATGCTATAATTAATTCCATTATATAGTCAGGGAAAACAGGCTTATAAAGACTAATGAACCTAACAGGGTTACAGAGCTAGCAAGGAGCAGATAGTTGAACTCAAGTTGTCTGACCTCAGCAACTATAGGCTTCACTAGTACATTGCATCTTGCTATTTTCTTATCAAGAGTCATGCATTCTGCCATCAAAGTCCTAAGTATTAACATCTGGAGGCCAGAAAGTAGAATTTGGCCCTACACCATAATTTGGAGATGTCGATGACAGCAAAGGTAACAGATTGCGCTTTGCTTTGTTTTTTAAAATTTACCAGCAATTAGTCCCCAGGGTATACAATAAAGTACTAACTACAAATAAATGTCAGTCACCAAGTGAATATACAATGTGTGCATGACAGCTCTGTTTGTGTTGCTCAAAAAGTTTTTTTTAGAGTTTCACATCGAGAGAGAGAGAGAGAGAGAGAGAGAGAAAATCTACACAGTGTGGTAAAAATTGAAATAAAACAGAGCTTGTTTTGAATGGAAAAAGACCTGACAGCTTAATTTTAACAAATAATTAAATACTTGCATCTCTTAAAACTTATAAAATGTGGCATTTTGTTAAATTGTATTCTCTTTTATGTATAATATGCATGATGACTTTCCTGCCAAAATTGCTTTTTTTGAACAAAAGTTAAGAAAATGCATCTTTTAAAAACAGTTTAGTTCTATTAAGTCTGAAGGAAAATTATGGCCTTCTGTGCTTGATAAATTGTAAACTATTTTTTTTTATTCTGGCACCTTTTACAATCCCAATCCTTCTCCCTGGGCTGTCTGGCTGTCTGTTGAGCACTGTTCATTCTTGGTGATTATGTTCTTTGGATTTAATCAAAAAAGCTGTAAATGACTACAGAGGCCACTATACAATCTGTCCAGGGCAGTACAAGGTGTATTTTTAACCATGACTAAGCTCTGTGGTTATTAAGAGAATGCCTTGGAAATAAGATTGCAGTCTCTGGATGGTGGGTGTCTCTGAATCTACCAACAAGGTGCAAAACACACTAATGCTTTTTAAAATTATAAGGCCCAGAATCAGAGAGTCGCTAGATACAGAAATCTTTTTTTCAATAAACACACATAAGAGTATTTTAACTCTCAACATTTTCTCATTCTGCTTCTCCCTCCTCCCTGCACAGATATTTCATATGTGCCCACATCTTTTAGAGTTTTCTAGCTCTAGAACGATAGGGAAATTGCCTCAGTAATTGTTCCCAGTGAAAATACAATTATACCTGAGACTCTTACAGTCTGAGAAACTTACACATGCTTCTTTGCTCACTGCCTTCTCGATAATGTTTTTAGCTTCTGGACTTTGCAGGTTCCCTCTGTTGTCCAGTGATACATCATATAAGGGATAGGGAGATCTGTGTTGGAGTGCCTTGTGCTCGCACTGAGTTAGGAAACATCCCATCAAATGTTTCCTGTTTCTGTTTCATCCTGTAAACTGAACTGAACTTTGAGTTACCGTCACTCATTCAAGATCCTCACTCTCTATGATCCAATGCAGTCCAAACAATGGATTTCTCAACTTTTATTCCAGTAACAGTTCTGATAGAACCATTAACATAGACGTAATGGTTACTGGTAACCTTGACCACTAGTAATTGTTAAATAACTTAGTTTTGAAGTAGGCACCATTTGTATTCCTGGGATTCCTTATTCTCCATTACCTCCTTCTCAGGGTAGCTTGCAAAGGTTTATTAGACCGTCTCTGTTCACACAAAGCTATTGTTACATGTCCTATGTAGAATGTACATGCAGGAACCTTGTACATCATGGGTGTCATGATCATTGTCATTTTCAGTAATGGATTTAATGGCAAACACACTATGAATCAAAACTGTCTCCAAAATGGAGATGGTGGTTAAAGGAATCTACTCTGGGGAGAGAATGGGTTGTCTGCTTAACTTTCCTTATCAATAAAATAAGGATATAAACAGTATCTGCCTGACAGGTGGGTTATAAAGATGAAATGAGATATGATCACCTGTCAGCCTGACAACTGTTACTGATGGAGCTTCTTAATGCAACACTTATCAAGTAGATAAATATTAACTTCACAAATAACATGGCTGTTTTGATTCTTAAAAAGTAGTATAGGTAATTGGGCACAGTGGCTTAGTGATGTAGTATTTAAGTATTGAGCTTTTCATATGAAAGCCACTATTTCAACTTGACTTCTCTTTTAGAAAGGGCTTGCAACAAGTTAAGTATTAAGCTTAGTAGTGCATAAAATTACTCATTTGGGTTCCAAAACTATTGGGCATAAATTCAGTAGCTTATGACTTAAGAAGAAAAACATGCTTTTATCCATATCGGGTAGCTATTTGAACTTTCAGATTGTTTTTGTGGGCTTATTACCTCACAGCAACAATACTAGATGAAAAAATAATAAAAAGACTGTTTAGTATTCTTGAATTCTAGCTTCTTGTAGTGAGTGTCCTTTTTCCTGTTTCTCATTATCACAACTTTACATATGGACATTTCGGGTCAACAGGGAAAGTTACCAATGCTTTTTGTCCTTTGTAAAAAGTGGCAGTGAATTGTGAAGTCATTTGGAAGAAGAGAGCTTTAGCTACATCAAACAAAAAGTTGGCCTGGCAGCAATTTCACTTCTAACATTCCACACCACACAGGGTTTGCATCCCAGACTGTGGTTTCATGTTTGTGCCTTGGTAGGACCAAAACAATGTGACTAGTCACTTTAGGAAGGAAAATCTCTGACAGAATGTGAGAGTTGCTATAGAGGGAATCTGTATATTTAATTGTCTCTGAGGGAATAAGAATAATTTTAAGAAATGGCTTTTAGAGCAAGATGGGCAATCTGTTTATGATTTTAATATCTTCAAGTATCTATTAATGACAACAAAGCTGTACCATGGGATTAATCCTGGGCAGATCTCAAGGTGCTGGTACACAAATGCTTAGGGGATCACAGAGGATTAAACAGTATCCTAGCAGAGAGTGTGAAGAAGCTGAAATTGAATGAGCAATAGATATATAAATTAACAATCAGACAGATTTAATAAATTAGATTGTAATATTTATGTATAACAGCAGTCAACATTTAGATGATTAGTATGTGCCAAGTAGTTAATAAAGATGTTCTGTTTTTAACACCATGAGGTAGGGAATTAACACCCCCCTTTCTTTCATGGGAAAATTTAAACTGCAGGAGGTAAAATTATTTTTCTAAGCTTACAGACTAAGCAGAAGTGGAGGTGCCCTTTGAAACCACTTAATCGACTATTAACCTCTCTAAGCAACACAGCTCCTCTGGACAAGCACCAGCGTACACTGTAGCCTGCTCATTGATGCTCTTCTTCCCCTGGTATATTAATCTGTTTTCCATTCAGCCAGTGCAACTCACTTGGAGGCCATATTGGCCACATTCAGAAGTAGGAAGTATTTAAGTGTCTTCTGGACGCAGTCAGGAGCTGCTTCATTCTCCAGGTTTGCTTGTCCTGGATCTGTCTTGGCTACTCCCCTAGTGCCTGGTTTTCTCATTTGCCTTGTTTTCCGATGCCAGTGCATGTGCTTTTTGATCTTGTGCTTGTCTTTTGCCTGAACTGTTCCCCAGCTTCTTCACAATGATGGCTTCTCCCAACTTGGTAGAATTTTGTCAGTGCAACTTGTGTTTTAATTATTATTGTTTATTCCATGTTTTTTTAACCCTACTTTTAAAACTTCTAGTTTATGTCCTTTATCACTGCTGTCAATGTTTTGATACATCTCCTCCCCCACACAAGTAATTGGTTGACACCAGGCTTCTGCATATCCTTTCACTGTTGCTGTTTTGGAATTTCTTTTCCTTTTTGATTGGGGGGGCAGTACTGGGTTTGAACTCAGGTCCTCACATTTGCTAGTTGGGTGCTCTACCACTTGAGCCACTCCACCAGCCCTTGGAATTTATTTTTATCCACTGCTACATTCACGTACCCAAACTCTGAGCCTGGCACATCTTGAGACTTTTAGACTTAATTTATATTTTTTTCAAAAAAGCTTACCTGCTCTAGAAAAATGACGGTTCTCACTCCAGAACGAAAATACTAGGTCTTAGAGACAGGATAAACAAGCAATGAGCTACTTCATGAACTATGTTTAAAATCATTCATTTACCCATGATTTTTATATAAAATTCCTACATACATGTGTTAAAAAAATCTAAACATAGATGCATCACTTTCTTTTCAAAACATCTCAATTAGTTTTGGTATTTAACTTGATTCAATTTTGTTTAGGTCCAATAAATAAATGAATAGGGCTTCTGAAATTACCATGTTTCCTTCAAAACAGAAATTGTACTGAGTCAAAGTTGTCATCATTATATACTTGTATGTCACAACACCCCCCTCCCCCACACAGGTGTATTATTACTGAAGTTTTTCATACTGTCCCAGAAATTCATTTACACATATCCATCCAGTGGCCAAATATAATACACACAGTACTGTTAGTTGCCAGTCCTGTCTGGGAGAGGTTGCCAGGGGAAGGGGGATGTGCAAATGGAGGGGGGTAAGGAAGGCAAATAATACAGTCAGTGTACTTTGTATATGCGTATAAAAATTGAACAATAAAAAAAACCAAATATTACCCTGTACCCTATTAATTCATGCAATTAATACATATTATACAAGAATTCAGTTAAACTTTGAAATAAATGAAAAATTTAAAAATATGGTTGCAAATAGAAACTTTCCAGGAAAAGCAAACAAGCATGTACTCTAATAATAGGCTGAAGGTGGTGAATGCCATGAGATTAAAAAAGAGCGAGTTGTCTGAAACTCAAGAGAAGGAAGAAATTATGTCCAATTCAGATTGTAAGGGGGTCCTTTTGAACTAGATTTCCACAACCAGGGATCAACAGCAGACACTACATTACATTTAAGAGGGGGTGAAAATAGCACAGGTGCCTTTATAATACAAAAGAGAAAGGTGTGCCAGTTATCTAAAGGATGAGACCTAATGGAAGATGAGCTTGTAGAACTAGAGGAAGTCCTTTAACACAGTAAAAAGGCACTGATGTTGCTGGGAGACAACTGTCATCCTAGCTGCAGAAGTGCCACAAGAGTGAAAGAAATGATTTCTACAGTCATTTCATGAGCCTGCTAAATAGTATGACCCTGAGCAGTTATTAAAACCTCTGGAGAAGGCAAGGCTGATAAAATGATAAGGGATTGTGGCACTATAGAGGAAACTAGTTATCTAATCCTCTTTCCATCATTCAACTCACATGACACTTAGCAAATTAACTATCTAAGTTTCAGTTTCTTCATCTATAAAATCCGAATAAGGATATTTTGAAGATTAAATGAAATAACAGAAAACATGTAATAAAACCCAGGACTCTGAAAGTGGTAGTTATTGTCATTGCTAATGAGGATTTAACCGTGACTTTAAATCCTTAGGGTACCTTCACTTAGCATCCTGTGTGAGCAGATTTCTTCCATTGCTTCCCATGGTGTCTTGTATGTTTCCCCTTGCTTACTGACTCAAGCATCATCCTCACAGTTTCTGGGACATACTAACAGCTTTGTATTTGTGCTTGCTATCAGCATCCTCCTTGTATTGCATGTCTGTGTTTTCCAAGGTGTGCTTCTGATGTATTTCTGTCTCTTCTTTTTAGCTTCTGTCAATATCTGAAATATGCAGGTATCTGTAGCCTTCTTTTCTATAATTTTATAATCTCTGAATTACAAATTATTTCTCAAGATGCTAAGCACTTACTATCTTCCCTTTATCAAATACTGTGTTCTGTTACTTGTATTATTGAGTCAAACTTAAATTTCTCTGACTTAAAGATGGGAGAGATAAGGGACAAGAATATGATACTGAGCAAGAGTATATACCATTAGCTCATTACAAAGCAGTTGATTATTAAAGAAAATCGCTGCTATAAACAAAGTTCATCAAAAATTCAGTAAAAAGAAGTAAATTTTGGAAAGTACAAAAATTTTACGAAGTCAACTTATTTGTAAGAAAGCATGAAGTTTTGAGAAATATAGCAGTTTTTTTAATGAAGAATTCTTTAAGATGCTCTGTTCAAGTTCATACTCTATATCATTTGTTACTTTATGGAAATAGTCACACTTCTTTGTGTCTACATTCATTTATAAAGAAAAAGCCACATGTGCTATATCTGTATGAAGCAAATATAACTATAGAATAAATTTACAATATTTAATTCAAAATGACTTATGTCTTATTCAACATGTCAGCAGTTTAATAAGGTTTATATTTGCTTGTATTTTACACCAGTGACTTTTTGTGTTTAATATCTTTCAGCATCTCCAGTTTTCATACAAGAACCTGCTGATGTATCTGTGGAAATTGGCTCAAATGTGACATTACCTTGTTATGTTCAGGGTTATCCAGAACCAAAGGTCAAATGGCGAAGATTGGACAACATGCCAATTTTCTCAAGACCTTTGTCAGTTAGTTCCATCAGCCAGCTAAGAACAGGAGCTCTCTTTATTTCAAGTAGGTTAAAAGACATACATTTTATACATATATTTGCATTGATATCTTACCAGTAGATTAAACTGGACTTGTTTTGGTTACAATATTTACAACAGTATAATTATCTCTCTAGTTAAGATCTTCTGTTGGCTTCTCTAGTAGTCACAAGATGAAAATCACACTCTTTATAAGGCTTCAACTTCAGTCTCCTGACTATACCCACTTGACTATAACTACATAGCTACCACTGCCCCGACCACTGACTTCACAGTACTGTCTAAAGGAGTGTCACTCTTCTTTAATACTCTTGTGATTTTGAAAAATAATTCTATATGTTTGCTTGACCTACATAATAAAAAGTATCTTAATTCAAACATAGTACAAAGGAAAAATAAAGAAAAGTAATTTATATTTAAATAATTTGTATTTCACTATGATCTGGCAATGTCTGTATAATATGCATGCACATGTATGTACATGTATGTAGCATCACCATGAATTCTACCACTCAAATGTAGACTGATAAGAGAGTATGAGATTAATATCTCCCAGACTCCAAGCTGTTGAAATGACTCTATAAAATAGTGAAGAGTGTTTTGCTAAAGTTCTATCTTGCTTCTATTAAAACAGAATTAGGCCCATATAATCATAAGGAAAGACCCAATGCATGAATTTCCAGTGGGTCCTTCAAAATTCTTGCTGGACTTGGGATAATTGTTCCTTTTGTGAATCTGCTCCATGTTTTGCCCACTAAATGCAGGTAGACTCTGTCAGTTACTGGGGGAACTAAAAATCTCCCCTGCCAACTTCCGAAATGCTCCAGGGTGGTGTAGCTGTCTATTCATTGAATAGACCTTGATTTCTTAAGCTATGTTTTTACTTTTGTAACTCACTAGAATTGCCTGCACTTCCTCTCTTCCACCCACTCTTTGAGGTATAGCTCAGATATGACCTCTGATATGAATTTAACACCCACACATGCAATCACACCTGTCTTTCTGCAGTCCATTGTGTGAAACTCATATAGCAATTATCACACTATGAAGTAATTGGTGAATTCCCTAGCATGGGAACTGCCAGAAGTCAGAACCATGCTTTCTATCCACAAAGATTTCAGCACTGTTCTTGGCACATAATAAAGTCATAGGTGGTATTGAATGAATAAATGTGTTCTCCTTTTTAGACTTGTGGGCAAGTGATAAGGGAACCTACATTTGTGAAGCTGAAAACCAGTTTGGAAAGATCCAGTCACAGACAACAGTAACAGTAACAGGACTTGGTAAGATCCATGAAATGTCCAGCAACACACTCTTCAAACCAGCAGGCTTCTTTGAGAGCATTATCTTTTATATGTGCCAACTTTTTACTTTTAAAAAACCATCAGGCTTTTCTCTCCTACCCCATTTCGTATTTCATAGTTCATAGAACATTACAACTGCAGATAACCTTAGAGGTCATCTGCTCTGAGTTCATCTGCCATTTGAAGAAATGAATGTCAATTTGAATTTACTTAAGTCTAAATGTGAATACTCTCTATCTCTCGCATACACACACAAACACACACACACATTAGAGTTGCGGAGTTCTTTTCTGATTACCTATTTTACATTTGTCATTTTAGTCTTCATGGAATCTCCTTTGCATGTGATGTGAAATAAAAATAGAATACTTCATTTCCAAATGGTAATGCATTTGATTCAATACTTTATTATATATTCTTTTCCTATAGATTAAAATACTCATTTGTTCACATGCTGGTTTATATCCCTGTATCTATTTCTTAGAGTTTTTTTTGTTCTAGTACTGTACTGTTTCAATTATCATAGAATTTAATGTGATTTTTAGTACATCAGTTCAGCTGGCTGTGGTGCTATGCATTTCTGTCCCAGCTACTTAAGAGGCTGTAGGTTGTCGGATTGTGGTCCAAGGCCAGCTTTCCCCAAACACGCGAGAACCTAGCATGTTGTGCATGTTTCTATTTAAACCCTTTTCCCAAACTTTGTGTTTTCTTTCATTTGCTGGTAGTACCTAAATTTTAGCAGTAAAAACCTCTGGGATTTTGCTTTGGTTTATGTTGTTTTTTTCATTGATTTCCACTCCTTCCAGGCTATTCAGTTTTCATGTAAATTGCTCCCTCAAAATGGCTCCGATGGTTCTACCATTCCATTTCAAATGCTTCCCATCACTCTCCTCTTGTGTACACAGCAAGTATTTTGCCTTGACATTTCTGGCTGTCCATGCCACAGTCATTCCTTTTTACTCTGTTTGCTTCTACAATATTACCTAGCTTCGTGACACACCTTCAACTTAGAAGGATCCTTTTTATCTCTACATTAAAGTTCATATCCATTTTCATGTAAAAAGTCCATTTCTGAAAACACCAACTTTTATACCTTGTAGTCATCTTGCCTATAAAATAGTTTGTCTTCCTTTGGACAAGGTGAAGCTGACAGAACCCCTGCTCTCTCTGATTCAGTTCCTCCGCTAATTGGAATGAGTCCTGCTCTAGCCAATGTCATTGAAGGACAGCAGCTGACTCTGCCTTGTAATCTTTTGGCTGGAAATCCTATTCCAGAACGTCGATGGATAAAGAATTCAGCCATGGTAATATTTTGCATGCATGTGTTTATATTTTTAATACTCTTGAATAAGACATAATGTATTCTAACCACTGATATATCAATTTGGTAAATATGCAAAATATGTTTTGTAAGTGTTCCAAAGCTTTTATTTGTTGTTAATGTGTTTATATCATAAATATTATTTGGGGATTAAGAAAATGTAGAAATAATCAGTGGTGTAATTTTCATAATTGCATATTAAATTCAATATCTTGAACTACCTTCAAGATAGGTAAGAACTGAGACTAGTATTATTTTCATAGCGTGTAATATTTTATACCCTTCTTTGCAGGACATTGTGAAATGTTAATGTGCCCATAGAACCCTTTCATTTTACGTATAAATCTTTATTATGAGTACCTTTGAATATTATATCTTTTATCATGAACTATTTTTGTAGCTCTATGGTATGGCATTGATTTTTAGTATATAACTTTCGATTAGGAAAGGATGTGGATGAGTTTTACGGTACTATGAAAGTTTTCTATAAACACATTATCTATGGCAATACATGTTCTCTAGTTCAGACCATTTTCCCTTCCAGTTTCCAGAATATTGAAACTCACTGTCTTCTTGAAGCACTCGTTAGAACTGAATTGATTCCATATGAGAAGTTGTAAAATTGTTCAAATTTTCATAAAAACCTGAGTAAAATTAATACCTTTATAGGATGATGCTAGTTGTCCACTAACATATCCTGTATGTGACTTCCATAAATATTACCCATTTGGAGCTGAGTTCAAAACCCCACAACTGCCAAAGTTTTTTTTTTTTTTTTTTTTTTTAATAAATCAAATAACTTGCTAGTAGAAATGAAGACTTTTTGGAAAAGAACAATTTAAGCCAAAAGCAAAATTTCCTGGTGAAATTCAAGTCCCTAGTGATAAAATTTATAGTAGCATGAAATAAACAGTGTTTATTTCTTTCCATTTTCAATCATGTGCATAACTCTGATACATTTTAGTGGATGTAAGTTTTGGAGGTGTGTCAGATTGAGTACGATTGATACATTCTGGGTAACATTTTATGCTCTTCGTTTTTCCCTAAGAGTGCTATGATATTTTGTTTTTTAATATGATATTTAGTAACTCGGTTAGAAAAAAAGATCTGGTTTGGGCTCAGATAAATTCTTACCTTTTCAAATTAAAATATGACTTTTGGTTCTTTTTCAGTTGGTACAAAATCCTTACCTAACTGTGCGCAGTGATGGAAGCCTCCATATTGAAAGAGTTGGGCTTCAGGATGGAGGCGAATATACTTGTGTTGCCAGTAACGTTGCTGGAACCATTAACAAAACTACCTCTGTGGTTGTACATGGTAAGAGAGAGAGCCCCAATGTAATTGTTTCCATATCTTGTTCAAAACTAGGTTCCTATGTTTAAGTCAAATGACTGTGTCCCTCTAGTTACAGGTAGATCTCTCTTCCTAATTATTTTTTATTTCTTGAACAGTATCTACATTATTAATACCTTTCCCAGATTTCCCTTTCCTATGTACACAAAAAACATTCTTGAGAACCACCAATTGAGCCTAGCTGAGGGCTTTTGTAAGTGCTTTCTTAATTGATAAAAGTGAACTCAACTCTCACAGAAGTATGTTTAAAAACACATTTTATTTTCAGGCAAGCTGAACTTACTGTCCCATCCAAATTTTACCTCTTTTTTTTTTTTTTTGATTGTGTAACCAGCATGTCCTTGCTAATAACCCCTTTGTGTTTGAGATAGAAATGACTTAAGCTTTTCTAAAGGTCAGTCACATGCTCCAAACCATTTTCTTGCATGTTAAATAACTTAAAGGTCACAAATAAGAAAATCCAGAGGCAATCTTTTTTCCATTCCTGACTAACATTTACCATTTTTTTATATCTCAATGAATAAGGGACAGCTTCATCATTTAATCAGTTATGACTTTTTTGTGTATTTTCTTTAAAAAACCTGGCAGCATTGCTTTTTAAAAATGTATTAATTTAGCATTGTGTACAAGGCTGAATATCTTAGGGAAGAAAGTAGTACAGAACACTTATTTTTAGCAATTAACTCAAACTTTATATAGAACATGAATTGTAGAATTCATCAGTTTGCAAATTTTGTTTCATCTGTTGAATAATATTGAAATACATCACTTCTCTGTAGGAACAAGACACAACAAAACACATTGACAATTGCTGAACAATACAGGGTAGGGGAAAAGGGTAAGGAAGACCAAGAGAGGGGGTTAGATTGATTAAAGTGCAATATATTTACAAGTAAAATACCAATGCAAAACCCCACTGAGCAATGAACAGACACTTAAACAATCAAGGAGAGGAATGTAAAGCAGTTCATATTAAGTGGAGGATAATAGTGGGAGGGGGAGGGGGAATGAAGAGGGTAAAGGAGGGAGAAGATGGTTGATGTTCTTTCTGTACATGTATGAATATGGAACACTGAAACCTGCCACTCATTTCAATAAGGGGAGTGGAGGAAGAGGGAGAATAATGGAGGGGACTAACCAAACCGGGGTACAATATATGTATATATGGAAATATCACAATGAATGCCCCTGTATGACTATCATACATTAATAAAAAATTTTTAAATAAAATTTCAGTGAATGCAGACCATTTTATGACTGTTTTTCAAAGTGTGATATCTCTTTCAGTTTCATATGAAGTTACACCAACATTACTTGAGATATTCTTGAACAAATATTATTTTGAAGAAACACTAAAGCAACCTTAAATTAATTACAGCCTAAAATAATAAATGTGTAATTGCTGACTGGGTATGGTTGTGTAACTATTTTTTTCTTCTTCTCATTTTTATTAGCTTATATTCATTGTACGGGAAGAGGGGGAGGAATTTATTGTGACAATTCTGAACAGCCTTACATCGCACATTGGTTTGATTGCCCCTCCATCTCTCCACTGCCACCCTTCCCCCTTCACACTTAAAGCAATTGCAGGGGGTTCCTCACTCTATTTCCTCTCTATATATGAAGCCCATCAACTCTATTCCTTCATCTTCATCTCCTCCATTCATCCTCCCCTTCCCACAGTGTCCCCCATACACTGTTCCTATTTTACAGTCCTGTCTTTCATTATTAGTTCCAAAGTCAATGTTCAAAGGGGTTTCTCAATGTATCTCAGCTGTGAATATGCTTTACTTTGATCAGTTTGATCCCTTCTGTTACTCTCCTTTACCCCTTCCCTTCCAACCTCCATTATTCAACAGCTCTCAGTACATATCTTTATATCCTCTACCTGCATAGATGTAATGTGTTTTGATACTGTTGACTCTATTGTTCTCTTTTCTTTTCCCTCTTCCCCTGTGTTCCATAGAGTAGTTTCATGATTATATACCTGTTGTACATATAAATGTGTATATGATTATGGTTGTGTATACTTTACCTTTTAGATCTACTGCATATGAGAGAAGGCATGAGACCTTTGTCTTTCTGAACCTGACTTACTTCACTTCACATGATGTCCTCTAATTCCATCCATTTCCCTTCAAACCACATAGTTTCATGTAACTATTTTTGAAGAAGAGCAGACCATAGATGTCCTGGGCTGATTTAGGAATCCATGCCTTCATGTCATGTCCTTCAGCCTCAGGAGCTTTCCTAGGACAGTGTGTTGAGAAGAATTTGGAGGATAAATTTTCACCTGGGTGAAGGAGTGACAGGATTACTTGTGATGTCTGCTAGGTCAGAAGGGTAAGAAGCCAGAGCAATGATACGGCTTGTCAACATTCAAGAAATCTTAATAATTGAAAGTTAAGGGGTCATTTCACAACAGTTGTTGGTTCATTTTAATCCAAAATGAACAACTAATTTAGCCAATACAGTTAAAGTCATCCCAGAGCCAGGTGCTGGTGGCTCACACCTGTACCTACTTGGGAGGCTGATATCAGGAGGATCGTGGTTCCGTGCCAGTGGGGCAAATAGTTCATGAGACCACATCTCAACCAACAGCTGGATTCAGTGGGGTATTCCTGTTATCCTAACTACACTGGGGAGCATAGAACAGAAGGATCCAAGTCCAGGCTGGCCTGGATAGAAAGGGAGACCCTATCTCCAAACTAATCCCTTATAGAGTTTCCCCTACAGTTCCATCAGAAAGTGTTAAAGTGTTGAATCCTTGCTTATTTTCATAATGAGCATAACAATGACAATGAGCATTTTTATAATGAACATGCATTAAGTATACACTAATAATGTTCAGCTTTAAGTCTCTGTGGCTCCAGTGGTAAGCACCTACCTTGCAAGAGCAAAGCACCGAGTTCAAACTCCAGTACCACCAAAAAAAAAAAAAAATCCGTCATTTTATCAACTATTCAGCAAATGGATGTGACACAGCGTGGGCCATTCTTTCCTTATGCTGCCTCTCCACTTTCAAGAATCCCAATTAAAGAAGGGCTGGGGGCATGGCTGAAATGGTAGATAGCTGCTTAGCAATTTCAGGGCCCTGAGTTCAAATCCCAGTACTGCCAAAAAAAAAAGAATGCCTATTGAAGGCTCCCAACTAATTTTTAAGGGAATGAGTGAAACAAAGTGGTCTAATTGTAATCATGACAATTAGATTGACAATGGAGAAGGAGACTGATATTTTCTATACTCAGATGTCATCAGATTTCAAAACAAGACTAATTTGCTGCTTTTCCTTGCTGTCAAACTTAATATGGATTTAAGAAAATGTCTTATTCCATGTTGCTACAAGTTGAAAACATATTTGAAAGCTGAATATTCCATGATGGTTCTGGAAATTAAATTTCTTGCTTTAGTGAATAGCCTGACATTCGTGTTTACAGTTGAAGATTTGCTGTCAATTCTTTAAGAAGTAATTATCTGAAGACTAAGACCAGCCATAGAAAATATGAATTTGTACCATACAAATTCATATGGTCTATGATATATCCTAACAAAATTCTTCTCCAGGGTAGTATGTCAGTTCTGGACATTTTTTATCTTAAGCAAGAGACATGGTGAGAGTGATTGAACTCCAGTCTGATCTTCCCAGGAAGACGCAAAGAAAATGTCGGAAATATAGCAGTCCTCTATTGTGTTCTTGCACTGTGATGAACTTTCATGTGTGGAAACTTCTTTAATCAAAATCATTATTTTGAGAACACTGAGTATAATTTCTGTATACAAGTTGCTTCTGACTAAATACGATATGTACAGAAGGAAATGATTAGTATTCCTCCTTATTTTTCTACTGATACAGTGTTAATTGCTCACTTGTTTTCTAAAGTCAAAGGTGTTTTTCTTCTTCTGAAAAATATTGACTTATAATCTTGTATTTTAGAGTTTTAAATGTAAACTCCTAAGATCTTTCCAGTTTTACTGCTAAATTCCTTTTAAGAAGAAAAATCCTCTTTTTCTACATTAAATTTAGTAATCCACTAAAGTGATTCTTGCACATAGACAGATACTTAATATGTAGTGATTAAACAGCTCATTTTCTGGAGGTGGGCTTACATCAGCTCACTAGAGCTTATTGGATAACAGACAATGATCAAAGGAAATATGTTGAATGTGGGACTGTTAGGATATAATGCTTTTTAACTTTTCAGGAAAAAAATGAATTTTCTTCAGTCCTCTCTTATTTTTGTTAGAAAAGTCCCCTTATTAGACATCTTGATTTTAAACTTTTTATTCAATCTATCCAGGGAATAACTATTGTATTTTCCTTGCTTAACATACTACCTAAGATTACCCTCCATTTCCATCATTAAGTGTTAAAATGTTGAATTGCTGCTCATTTTTATAAACACTAAAAATATACCAAAAATGTTGGAAGGAGGGGAACTCAGATTCTGAATCCTTGTTTCCTTTTTCAGTTCTGCCAACCATTCAGCATGGACAGCAGATACTAAGCACAATCGAAGGCCTTCCAATAACTTTACCATGCAAAGCAAGTGGAATTCCCAAACCATCTATCGTTTGGTCCAAGGTAAATGGTCCATCTAGAGGCATTCCCTGAGAGCAGAGAGGGAGTTACTAGGCAAGCGATCCCCGGAAGCTAGAGAGTCAGAGTGGGGGAATGAGCTAAGAATGAGCTTTGGCTGAGTGGATCAGCTTCATTGTGCTGAGGTCTTATATAGCACACATGTCCACAGATGAACTAACACCCTGCTTTTCTGGATACATGTGCATTGGCTGCAAAGATTTCTGGGCCTTTGGACAAAGCCTTGAGGCCAAAAAGCAGACTAACCTTCAAGAAGTATGACCTTGGCAGAGTATACGGAGCTGTCCACTAGAGCTGTGCTGAAATTGGGAGGGCTGAGAGGATGTGGCAAGGGGAAAAAAAGGGTCTGTGACAACATGTAAAGTGCTTAGAATAGTTCCTGGCACACAGGCTTTCCCACAGATGTATTTATTGTTGTTTCGCTAACATAATCCAGATCTCAGGTAGATAACTGCACTAGGAATCTTTCAAGGTCCCCTCCAAGAGTGGATAGCCGTGTGGATTTTCCTTTGTTTACTGTGTATGACTAAATTTTGTGACACATACTTACAAACTCATTTATTCTGTCTGTCACATAGTTATGCAGCTTTCTCTTGTTATTCTTGAAATAAGAAAAAAACACATTTCATGAAGAAGTTCTTCCTGTCTTTCAATGACCACACAAAGGTGGCATATTTTCTGTAAACTAAAGTCTGGTAGATATAAAATAATACAAAGTGATGATGAAATAATAGAATATGGCAGTTGTATAATGAGCTTTGCAAACAGTGTTTCACCATACCATCTAATTATCCATCTAAAATTCTCTGCAATTTGGTGAAGTTGGTGTTAACATCTGTAAACAACTGAAAAGATTGACATTTTTATATTCAAAGTGTGCAGCGTTTGGCACTGAGTGGAAATTTAATGCACTTTGAGGAAAATGCAAATATGAAATCTCCCTAGGCTGCCTTTGTGCTGTGGGCAAATACAGATTCCAAGAGTTCCAATCCTAGTTTTACACACTGACTGGCTTTGTGACCTTGGCTCAGTTCCTCTGCCATCCTCTCCCTGTGCTGTAGGCCTCTGAACTGTAAGGTGGGAGTTGTAGTGGCTGCTACTCATAAGGTAGTTGAGACCACTAAACAGTTAATTCATACGGGACACTCAGCACAGCGGCCGGCATAGCTAGAGTTCATGGTTTGCCCCTCACTACCATCCTTACTCTCTCCCTTTTTAAGTAGCCATGGGAGAAAAGGAGCATGGTTTGGTGCGGTGGTGAAGTACCACCTCGAGTACTTTTGTTTGTCAAATTTTTCTTATAAATAACTCCCTACTAATTAGTCTTCTTAAATCTAGTTTTTCACCCCTTGGTGATATTTTTCTTTCTCTCTTCCTCTTCCAGACACAAAATCACCCACTCCTTTACTATCTTTATAAAAAAAACCCTTCTCTTCCTTGTGTTTATAGAAAGGAGAGCTGATTTCAACTGGAAGTCCCAAGTTTTCTGCAGGGGCTGATGGAAGTCTGTATGTGGTGTCACCTGGAGGCGAGGAGAGTGGGGAGTACATCTGCACTGCCACCAACGCGGCCGGCTATGCCAAGAGGAAGGTGCAGCTCACAGTCTATGGTGAGAGCCCTGGGAAAAAACCTTTCCTGTGGCCTTGCCCACTTGTGGCAGAACTCACAGTTAGTTCCCAAGTATAATTACCTGTCAGCAGAAGTGTCAAAATGAATCCCTCCCCCAAGTTTATTTATTTGTTTTTTACAAAACAAAACAAGCATTTCAAGTACCAACCCAAACCACCACTACATACATTCTGCTTTCTTTTCTTTTTATTTTTTTAGTTTTTGTCTCTTTATTCATGTATTCATATGTACGTATATTGTTTGGGTCATTTTCCCCTTGCCCCTGTCCCACCCTCTCCCCCACCACCCTCCTCACTTCCAGGCAGAACCTGTTCTACCCTTTTCTCCAATTTTGTTGAAGAGAAGACAAAAGCATAATAAGAAAGACATAGTGTTTTTGCTAGTTCAGATAAGGATAGCTACACAGAGAGATTCCTAGCATTGCTTCCATGCACAAGTGTATTACAACCCGAATCGATTCATCTCTACCTGACCTCTTTACTACTTCCCAGTCACCTTCCTATATTGACCTCTGTTGCTTTAAGGTTACTGTATTAGCTCCTCTGCAATGGGGACATCAAACACTTTCAATTTTTGGATTTCCCACCTATCCCCATTCCTCCTGTATGTGCTCTTCCTCTTAGTGTGTGACCCAAATCCAACAACATTACTGCCTTTGCTCTAGACTAAAGTCTGCATATCAGAAAGAACATACAATTTTTGGTCTTCTGAGCCTGGCTAACCTTGCTGAGAATGATGTTCTCCAGTTCCATCCATTTACTTGAGAATGATAAGATTTCATTTTTCTTCATGGCTGAGTTAAATTCCATTGTGTATAAATACCACATTTTCTTAATCCATTTGTCAGTAGTGGGGCATCTTGACTGTTTCCATAACTTGGCTGTTGTGAATATCGCTGCAATGAACATGGGTGTGCAGGTGCCTCTGGAGTTACCTGTGTCACATTCCTTTGGGTATATTCCCAGCAGTGGTATTGCTGGATCATATGGCAGATCTATGTTTAGATTTTTAAGAAGCCTCCATATTGTTTTCCAGAGTGGTTGCACTAGCTTGCATTCCCACCAGCAGTGTACAAGGGTTCCTTTTTCCCCACATCCTCGCAAACACCTGTTGTTGGTGATGTTTTTGATGATAGCTATTCTAACAGCGGTGAGGTCGAATCTTAGTGTGGTTTTGATTTGCATTTCCTTTATGGCCAGAGATGGTGAGCATTTTTTCATGGTTTTTTGGCCATTAAAATTTCTTCTTTTGAAGAAATTAAAGTCTCCCACTACCACTGTGTTGAAGTGTATATATGCTTTTAGGACCTTCAGAGTATGTTTGATGAAATTGGGTGCACTGATGGGTGCGTATAGGTTGATAATTGTTATTTCCTTTTGGTATATTTCCCCTTCTATTAGTATGGAGAGTCCCTTTGTCTCGTTTGATCAATGTAAGTTTGTTGTCTACTTTGACTGAGATAAGTATTGCTACTCCTGCCTTTTTTCTGGGACCATTGGTTTGGCAGATCTTCCAACCTTTCACCCTAAGGCAGTACTTGTTTCTGTTAATGAGATGGGTTTCCTGTAAACAACAGACTGTTGGATCTTCCTTTTTAATCCAGTTTGCCAAACTGTCTTTTGATGGTGGAGTTAAGTCCATTAGCATTCAGTGTTAATGTTGGTAAGTATGTGGTGATTCCTGTCATTTAGTTGTTTTTGTTGTTTGAGAGTTTGATTGTGTGCAGCTGAATTAATGTTACTCTCTGATTCCTGGTCTTTTCTTCTCCTGTGGTTTGATGCTTCCCTTCCTCTTGTGGTTTTGTTTGCTTTCATTTTCTGTATGCAGAATTCCTTGAAGAATCTTTTGTAGTTGTGGCTTGGTGGTCATATGTTTTAGTTTCTGCTCATCAAGGAAGACTTTTATTGCTCCATCTATTTTGAATGATAGTTTTGCTGGGTAGAATATCCTAGGGTTGAATTCCTTTTCATTTAGTGCCCAGAATACCTCACTCCATTGCTTTCTTGCTTTTAAGGTTTCTGTTGAGAAATCTCTGTGATTTTGATGCATTTACCTTTGTATGTTATTTGTTTTTTCTCTCGTACAGCCTTCGTATTCTTTCTCTATTCTCTGTGCTTGTTGTTTTAATGATAATATATCATGGGGTAGTTCTATTTTGGTCAGGTCTGTTTGGTGTCCTGGAGACTTCCTGTATCTGAATGGCCATAGTTTTCTCTAGGTTTGGGAAATTTTCTGTTATTATTTTGTTGAATGTATATGAATCCCTTTTGCTTGCACCTCTTCTCTTTCTTCAATGCCCATGATTCTCAGGTTTGGTCTTGTGATGGAGTCAGTGAGTTCTTGCATATTCCTTTTGCAAGTCTTGAGTTGTTTGACTAATAGCTCTTCAGTTTTTCCTTTAATTTCCATTTTATCTTCAAGTTCTAAGATTTTGTCTTCTGCTTGTTCTAGTCTGTTGAAGTGGCCTTCCATTGTGTTTTGTATTTGTGTTTCATTCTTTTTTCTGAGGTTTTCCATATCATGGGTCACTTCCTCTGTAATATTGTCTGTTTTTGTCTTTAATTCATATAGTTCTCTCTTCATAGTGTTCTCTGTTTCACTTTGGTGTTTATTTAGGTTTCCTATGAGTTCATTTATTTGTTTCTGTGTCTTCTCATATTCTTTATTTTTGGTGTCTTGAAATTTCTTGAGTGCCTCTTATATATTTTGGTTAACCATGCCTAGTAACATCTCCATGAAATTCTCAGTGATTACTTGCAGGATTTCTTCTTTGAGGCTGTTCTTGTGGGCATTGTTGGGTTCCTTGGTGCTGTTTATCTTTGTTTTGTTGGAGTCCAGAACTGGGTATCTGTTTTCTTCATTTCCCTCTGAATCCTATATTAAATTATTTTTTGGGGGAAAATGGTTTCCATCCCTTTTTCTTCTTACCATCGCTCTAGTTGGTACTGTGCAGTATGTTGTTGATAGACTAGTTGGTGGTTTCAGTCACCTGTTTTCTTTCCCTTGGTTTAATTTTGTTTTGTGGCTGTATTGGGTTTGTAGCTAAGTATGTGTGTATTATTTCTGTCCCCGGTCTGGGTGTAATTTAGTATTTGCTAATTCACAATAGTAAAACTAACAACAACAAAAACCCCAAAGCAATCAACATGGAGAGATGAACAAACAAACACAAACAAGAAACAGAACTAACAAATAGACAGACAAACAAAGAAACAAAAAATTCCAGGTTCAGGAACAATAGAATTTCAGTCTTAGTTTAAGTTCTGGTGTTTCTCCTCCAGCATCCAATCCTGGTGTTGTTGTTTAAGCAGCAGCTCTGTCGTAGTCTCGCCAAGTTATTGGGTAGTGCTTTTTTCTTCTTTCAGAGGCAGCTGCTTGGTCAGCAACTCCCTCAGTGGGGTGTGGCAGTTTAAGTGTGTATGTTGTCCTCAGGTTCTGGTATCAGCTCTGTAGCCCACCAGCTGTCCTGCTTTGCAGTTGGGTTTTCACTACGTTGGTTTACTGGGGGCTTGTTTCTTTGCCTCGTCCCCTTTCTCTGGGGCAAGGTCCGTGATCCATCAGCCATCCTCCTCTGTCAGTGTGTTGTGATGGTTTGCTGATTATTTTTCAATTTTGCAGTGTCTTTTGACCTTGGGTGTTGCTCACTGGCTCAGAAGATGTGCTTTGTGGACAGCTACCTGCCCTAATTCAAACAGCAGTTTATCACCAGCCCACTGTTGGCCCTTCTGCCTCTCTAGCCTATGTTAACTGAAAGTTAATGTGGAGTTCAGCTCCTTGCTCCTCTCTCCTTCTCCAGCGTGCTTTTGGCAACTCTGTCCCTCTGCTGTGTGTTAGTTTTCAGTTCCTAATTTATTGTTCAGTTTTTATTTTTGTGTGAGCAGGCTGTCTGCCCAGGGGGCTATACTAGTTTATCCTAGGAGTGGCTGGGGGAAAACAACGTGACACTTGGTGTTCACCTGTTTGGCCTGCTGAATGTCTCCCAAACAGCTTTGGAGCTGGTGTCTGGTTGCACGGGAGCCCTCTTTTTTCCTCACTGTAATGTGGTGTGGAGAAGCTTTCCACGGGCTAGGTGTTCAGAATTTCAAAGTTTTGATTCTCCTTGCTGCTTTATTTCTGCCAATTGTGGCTCCAGCGTCTCAGCAACGTTTTGGAGTCTTGGAGCTCATGCTGTCTGCTTCTGTGCCCTAGTTGCCATCTTGGATCTCCACATTCTGATTTCTTTAATCAATCAACCAATCAATCAATTAATTTGCAATACAGGGGTTTGAACTCAGGTCCTACACCTTGAGCCACTCCAACCCTTTTTTGTGAAGGGTTTTTTCAAGATAGGGTCTGCAAACTATTTGCCTAGGCTGCCTTTGAACTGTGATCCTTTGATCTCTGTCTCCTGAGCAGCTCGGATTATAGGTGTGAGCCACTAGTGTCTGGCCTTAGATTTTGATTTTAAAGTAATTGTATAGTGTTTTGGGAAAAAAGTATGGTGTTTTCTCAAGAAATACTTCTTACCCCCAACCTTATTCCATAATAGCAGTTAGTTAAAATGCCCAGCAGAGTCAGGCCTCAGCCATGTCTTGGGCAGCCCTCTGCCCACAGGGATTTCTATGAAAATTCAGACTGTCTAACATTTCAGCTGACTTGGTGTGCTCACAGTTATTGCTGAGAAGGGAAACTTCTCATTTTCCCTTTAGCTCTCACCATAAAAGTATTAATGGAAAATTCTATATATGCCCTGAAACTTGGGGGTAAACAACATCTGCTTATAAACTACTTAAGAATCTTCTAGTCACATTTTAATGTAAATTAAACTCTGCATTTCTTCCCATGTACTGCTTCCCTTCCAAATCATGTGTTTATTTTAGTAAGGCCCAGAGTGTTTGGAGAGCAACGAGGACTGTCCCAGGATAAACCTGTTGAGATCTCCATTCTGGCAGGAGAAGAAGTGACACTTCCATGTGAAGTGAGGAGCTTACCCCCACCCGTCATTACCTGGGCCAAAGAAACCCAACTCATCTCACCATTCTCTCCAAGGTAGGAGATCTGGGATGAATGGCTACACAGGAATGTGACCTGTTGAGACAAATTGCTGTGCCCATATAGATTTTCAGATGTCTCAAAAAACAGCTTTTAAATTTGAGATAATTCACATGTACATCTAAACTTTCTGGGACAAAATAATATATATGTATACCTTCCAAATCATTTTAAATGTCACAAATGCCAAGACCATACCCTTTGCCATAATTTCCCACTGGTGCATTGTATAAGCCAGTTGTGGAAATGAGCAGAGTTGTGTGTAGGTTTCTGCTAGCCCTGTGTGTGTAAGCATGCAGAATTCTGTAAATCCCAGAGAAGCAATAAATCACAATAAGCACTGTAATGTCTAGGACTTGATTTTCATTAGGGGATTTTGTAAGTCTCCTTGATTAAATCCTTATATAAATGAAGGCCACTGTGTTGATGTAATTCATAGGCTAGGTGAAATGGGAAGAATGCCACAGCTTTAAGAACACAACCTTTGTTGCCATCCATGTATGAGTTTAAACTTCTTTCCAACCCTTGAAGCTACCATGAAACTTTGTGCAATTTGTTCAAGGGGTCTCTCCTGCTTGCACATGGGAATGGTATTATCCGAGAGGATTATATAAGATAGTGCACAATGTCTGCTTTAATTCAGCAGCACGTCAAAAGTTTCTGGTGCAACATGAAGTAGGATGTAGCTACCATTTGTTGGAGTTCTTTTTTTTTTTTTGCAATCAACAAGGCAGAGTTTATTGAGCTGGCAAGCCAGGGTCAAGCTCCCACACAGACGCACAGGTCTGATTGGGCAGACAAGACCCCGAGCCTCTTTAGGGAAGATCTTTTTTTTTTTTTTTTTCATTTTTTTTTTATTATTCATATGTGCATACAAGGCTTGGTTCATTTCTCCCCCCTGCCCCCACCCCCTCCCTTACCACCCACTCCACCCCCTCCCGCTCCCCCCCCTCAATACCCAGCAGAAACTATTTTGCCCTTATTTCTAATTTTGTTGTAGAGAGAGTATAAGCAATAATAGGAAGGAACAAGGGGTTTTGCTGGTTGAGATAAGTATAGCTATACAGGGCATTGACTCACATTGATTTCCTGTGCGTGGGTGTTACCTTCTAGGTTAATTCTTTTTGATCTAACCTTTTCTCTAGTTCCTGGTCCCCTTTTCCTATTGGCCTCAGTTGCTTTAAGGTATCTGCTTTAGTTTCTCTGCATTAAGGGCAACAAATGCTAGCTAGTTTTTTAGGTGTCTTACCTATCCTCACCCCTCCCTTGTGTGCTTTCGCTTTTATCATGTGCTCAAGTCCAATCCCCTTGTTGTGTTTGCCCTTGATCTAATGTCCACATATGAGGGAGAACATACGATTTTTGGTCTTTTGGGCCAGGCTAACCTCACTCAGAATGATGTTCTCCAATTCCATCCATTTACCAGCGAATGATAACATTTTGTTCTTCTTCATGGCTGCATAAAATTCCATTGTGTATAGATACCACATTTTCTTAATCCATTCATCAGAGCTGGGGCATCTTGGCTGTTTCCATAACTTGGCTATTGTGAATAGTGCCGCAATAAACATGGATGTGCAGGTGCCTCTGGAGTAACAGTCTTTTGGGTATATCCCCAAGAGTGGTATTGCTGGATCAAATGGTAGATCGATGTCCAGCTTTTTAAGTAGCCTCCAAATTTTTTTCCAGAGTGGTTGTACTAGTCTACATTCCTACCAACAGTGTAAGAGGGTTCCTTTTTCCCCGCATCCTCGCCAACACCTGTTGTTGGTGGTGTTGCTGATGATGGCTATTCTAACAGGGGTGAGGTGGAATCTTAGTGTGGTTTTAATTTGCATTTCCTTTATTGCTAGAGATGAAAACAAACTAAAATTTTTATGATTTTACTATTTCTTTGAAAAAATACTTTTTGAAAGTTTTCAATTTATAATATAACATTACTAATACATTTTTATTATTTCCTTCCTCAATAAGAATTTCTTTTCTCTGTTCCTGAGGACAAACACTATCACAAACTTGCTCTACATCCTATATCCTTAAGAAAGCTTGTTTTTGTGTTTTTAATTTGCTGTTGTAACATTTAGTATATTGATATTATTACTTACTTTATTATGTCAATGTTTATTAATTTTTTACATATAGATTCAGTTTATTCATATTAACTAGTATATATATTATATATATGTTTTAGTTTATTAATTCTTTCTCTATTTTTGGTTTTTAAACAATGCTTTTCAACAAATACATGTTTAGATCACTGTATGTACATGCATGGGTTCCTTTGGGACCTATACCTGGAACTAAAATTTCTGGTCAGAGCAAATTCCTATTAGCAGCCTGGTAGACATTGCTAAATTTCTCTCCAAAGGGCAGCACTGATTTACCTTCTACCAGAGGAAATTTCTACCAGTTTCCACTTTCTAATGCACCCATGGCATTGACTAACTTAAACATTTTTGACAGTGGATGGTTATGAAGTGGTACCATGTGACTGCTTTCATTTTCATGGGACTGACTTCAAGTGAGTTTGGAACACTCCTACCTGTTTCATAGTCTTTTATGTAATCCATAAGTCATTTCTTTCAGTCAGATATTCATTTTCCTGTTAACTTATCTTTTTCTTAGTAAATGTAGAAATATGGTGTTTGTTCTTGATAACAATCTTTTGTCTGTTGCATGTGTTGAAAATAGTTTCCCTTAGTCTATTGTTAGGGTTTTAAGATTTAGGCACAGTGTTTGGTTGTACAGTATTTGGTTGTACAGAAGCTTTAAAGTTTGAAGGAGCTCAATATATTAATTTACTCTTTTGTAGATTTGGACTTTTCGTCTTCTTCAGGAAAATTATAATTATAACCTCTCATATATTCCCATTTTTTGAAGTTCTGGAGTTTTTTTTTTTTTTTTTTGTACATTTTGGGCTTTCATTCACCTGAATTTTTATGCTGTGTATAATGTGAGAGTGTTACTTTCATTTATTTGTTTTTCACATCTGGAAAGCCATTTTGAATCCTTACGTGTTGAAATCTTACCTCTAATACTGTTGAGTACTTATATGTAAGTAGGTGTTTTTGGAGTTCTCTGTCCTTAAGTATTAATCCACTTGTGTGTTTCTGAACCACTAGCACATTTCGTGTGACCTAACTTTTAAGGAAACTTGATATTAGGTAGGTCTGCCTAGCCGCTGCACTGCCTCCCCCAAAGTATTTTTTTTATGAAATATGGCATGATAACATTTTTAAATTTAGTTCTGTTTTACCCAATAGGTTATTATCTTATAAGAGGAATATATTCAAAATATATTTGAAAGCGTGTTCTTTTGTTTGCCTTTATTAAAACACAGTAAATATTTTATGAAGCATTGTAAAAAAGATAAAAATCTTCCAAGTTAGTTCAAAATTTACTAAGATATACACTTGTCTTTTATAGCTACATCTTATTGAAGCAGAGAATTATTTGTGATTTTGAACAATCAGGTTAGATTTAAGGGTAAAAGAAAATTGATTTTGTGTTTATAAGAACATCATCCAGAATTCAGAAGATAATTATGAAAACTTTTGATTTTCACAGCATATGTATTACAGATGGGAGGATGGTATCAAAACTCACTTGCAGAGTAGTAATTTCACATGGAAATGCAGCTGCATGGGGTGTTTGAATTCTCATGTTCTGTGGTCTGATACCTGTCTTTTCTTTTAGACATACGTTCCTCCCTTCTGGTTCAATGAAGATCACCGAGACCCGCATTTCAGATAGTGGGATGTATCTTTGTGTTGCCACAAATATTGCTGGAAATGTAACCCAGTCTGTTAAATTAAGTGTCCATGGTGAGTTTTGAAATGAGGACTTTTGCTAGCTTTGTGCACTGGCCACAAGGAAGCCCATAATCATCATTTGTTTTTTAGCTAGCCACCAAGTTGTATTAAGTGATTATAGAAAAATTTCCTAAAAGCAACTTGTGCTTTCCTTTCATTTACTCTGAAAACTTTATTTGCCCCTTTTCCCTTTGAGCTTCTTAAATTTTTGAGTCTCAATTTTTCTGCATGTCCAGTTACTCTTCACCACGGCTGATGATATGCAGTAGAAAAGAAATGTAAATTCTTAGAAACTACCTGGATTCTTAGGGAAGAACCTAATCATTTTTAAATAGTAATTTTCAAATTTTAAAGTACTCAGAAACTGAAAAAAATCTGCTTCCTGGGGTTCTTTGACTACCTAACAATTCTCTAGTTAAGTGTGCAGTATTTTACCAGCTGTTCCTTCATTTAACACATTGAGTACATATCTGTACCCCAGGCATTGTGAAGATGACAGGTGTCCAAATATCAGAAGACATTGCCGCAGACAGTATTGACCTAGTTTCATGCTCAGATCAGTTAATATAATAGTGTCTTATTGTCCCTGGGTTTGACATTGCCAGCTGTCATTTACCAGCTGAAGGGCATTAAGCACATTACCTAAATTCACCTATCTATAATTTTCTCTTTTGTAAAATGATGATAGTAATACTATCAACTCATGAAGCTATTGTGACAGCCTTTAGAAAGTAGTCATTAAATATTAAGTTAATGAAAAAGGACAGACTAATAGAGCAAGAGGTCTACAATGGATAAATTATAATTGGGCCCTTGTGACTCACTCGACTCTGCAGTGCACGATGCATGGATGGAGAAACCAAGAATCTTTTTGCAGTGTTTTGATAAACTACGTCATTTAAATTTCTAAAGGAAGGTAGATAAGGGGAAGTGATAAAGGCTGCATGTGATTTTTCTTCTCTGAAATTAGCAAAAAATGATTTATGAGAACTCTTCTTATCGTCTGTCTAGTTCTGCCACAAAGAGAACAAAAACTGAACACATGGAGAGAAGTGCTTTTTGTTTTACTCTCTTATGTTTCAGAAATTATCTGGATTGCTTTTTAAGAGGGTCTTAAAACCTTGTATTATTTATAAGTTCAAGGAAACCTAACAAACTTAAATGCTGTCTATTCCTCCAGCTTGAAACTGGGAATTATCTATTTATTTTTTTCCTACAATTCTTGCAGCATACTGATGTTTTGACTGGAGAGTTTACTTTGCCTGAATTATTAAGGAAACAAGTCTCAGGAAGTTTGTTGACTTACCCCTTATCACATAGCTAGGAAGTGATCCAAATCCAGAGATTTCTCCACTGTCCCATGGATTTCCACAGTAAGGAGCTCTCATTTAGAGTGAGAAAATGGAAGAACTTTTTAAAGTTGAATTGTTAATATCCTATTGTTGTTTCAGTTTCTCCAAAGATACAGCGTGGACCTAAATATATGAAAATCCAAGTTGGCCAAAGAGTAGATATTCCATGTAATGCCCAAGGGTCACCTCCTCCTGTGGTCACCTGGCTGAAAAGTGGAAGGACCGTGCTGATTGACGGAGTGCAGCATATTAGCAGCTCAGATGGAACTTTAAGCATCAACCGAGCTGTGCTGTCAGATGCTGGCGTATATACCTGTGTTGCCACTAACATAGCAGGCAGTGATGAAACTGAGATAATGCTGCATGTCCAAGGTGATTTTCTGATGATGAAAATATGTCTATGGTAGAGTCAGGAGTGGAGGAGAATGCCTGGAGTCTGTGTAGGATGTAGAGTTCTGAATAGTCTTTGGATCACTTTAGAAAAATTTCTCTATGAAATTTTGTGATTCTAGCTTCGAAAGGAGAAGCATACTAGACGGAAATGAAACCACTTTATTGCTAAACCTGCATCAATTTGTGTATGTTTACTTTTGAAAATGAAATTGTCGTGCATGATATGTGTAATGGAAGCAATTCTACATAATGCTTTTTTGGTTTAGGAGAAATTGGGGCAGTATTGGCTGGGTAGGATTTCACCTAACACCTCACGTCAATTGATCTCTAGGAAATTTAGGTCCACTGCTCCCCTATTGACATTGGCCTTATTTTGAGATTTGAAAGATCAAAAATTAGTTCCTCAAACAACAAATATTTATAGAGTTTCTGCCAGGTGACCATTATGTTGTAGGCAGTGGTAAGGAAGTAGTGATAATGACAAAGCCCTTGCTTTCATGAGATGTTCTAGTGTGAACAGACAGAAAGCAAGGAAAAAAAATATAGAGAAGGAAGAGCAAAGTGTTGAAAATTTAAGTGGGGTGAAGTATCAACTTCCAGGACTTGAATGCTTTTGTTGGAATTGCTAGGTAGCACTTTTCTGAGGAAATGATATTTAGATTGAGATCCTGTTAACTGGAGGGAACCACCCATGTGGAAATCAGGAGGAACATTTCTGTTAGAGGGAATATCAGTACCAAGGTAAGAAGGAGAGATAAGCAGGTATTTAGTACCTGGTATGCTGGAATGTTTTTGGGTAAGTGGCTAGAATATTAATGGAGAGCTTTCCCAATTTATTCATTTACTAATGAAACCTTATTATGTGCTTATGTTTATAGTTAAAGGGGAAAGATAGACATTTATATAACAATCTCTCACTAGTTTGATACATACATAATTACAAACATGATTTGTGTTTCAGAGAGAATATTCTGGGAGCTGTGTAGAGCATCAGTCCAAAGTGGAATGTAGTTGATAATAGAATCTCAATAAGAAACCTAGTGAAATAGGTATGGTAAGAGAAAGTAAGGGTTTGAAATAAGCAGAGACATTGAGGATAGAAAGGAAGATACAGACACATGAATATCCATGGTACTATGAGCTTAAATGAACGTTCAGGTTAGGATAAAAGGAGAAAGACTGAGAAATAACGGGATGGACCATGATACCTTAACTGAGGGAGAAAGGGAATCAGAATGGGATCATGAGAAACAAAATAACAAATTTTGTTGGGAGTATTTTGAGTTTTAGGCCCCTGGGTCACATGTAAGTAAAGCGCTCAGACAGTTGGAAACATGTCTTATATTTAAAAAAAGAATCAGGCGAAATAGCAACTCATGAAGGCAGGTGATTGATGAAGCCCTCAGTAGAGTTTGAAATTCTCCAAGGAAAGTCTGTGATAAAGCATTTATTTTTGACAGAACCACCTACAGTGGAAGAACTAGAACCTCCTTTTACTACTCCATTCCAAGAACGCCTGGCCAATCAACACATCGCGTTTCCGTGTCCTGCAAAAGGTGTGTGATACTCAGAGAAGTAGGCATTTGTGTGATAGTGTTCTAGAATTCCATATTGCACCCAAAGCACCGTATTCATAAAATTCACTTGCCAGTCCTTGTTATAACATTGGAGCATAATAGAAACGCTCCCTCTTTCAAACAACACTCTTTGAATAGGTATTTTTCCTTTTCATCCCTTTCTTTCTTTCAGTGGAGAGATGCTCATGTTCTCAAACTTGCCTATTCTAGTATGACTTCTGCATACTTCAGGTCCTCCTGTTCCTTCTTACTTTATTCTTTTTATTGGCAAGATTTCTTTTTTAAATGTGACAGAGCTATTCAAAATACTTAAAATTTGTCTTACTTTGTCAGAGGTAAAAAAATTAGGATTATTCTCTTGTTTGTTCTAGGCATTTTTTTAAAGACTCTCTTTTTTCCAGGTCTACTCTCAACTGGTCTCAATGCTGAGACCACAGTGTAACTTTTCTCTTAGAGACTTATCAAGTCCCTCCCTATCTTTGAGTTTCTGGACTTTCTGTCCCACCATGTTCCTTGGCAAGAGATTACTAGTGTCTCTCCTCAGGGGGACATGGAGGAGGCACTGTCTCTGTTATCCTTACATGCATGCCAAGTACATGGTTAAGGACATCTCTTTCACACATACGTTCATGAGCAGTAACTCAAATTGAGCTTGTAGCAGTTCTGGCAAAGCACAAGCAGCATTCTTTACCTAGCCTCTGGAGGGCTCCAGGGGTCTGGTCTCTTCACTGCTCCCACACTTGCTTCCCCCTGCCACTTGTGCCTGCAGGCAGCAGCAATCAAGCACCCTCATGCTGGCTTGCTTTCTGTAGTGAGCTTTTGCACCTCTCAACAGTAGCTATCTCCAATGATTACTCCATTTCCTGCCAATATTAAAAGAAAGGTAAGTGTACAAGCATTTCAGATATCTAAAGAGTCATCAGTAACTTGTCAGAGCCAGTGAGAATTAGGGAGGTGTAAACTCTTGTAGGTACTGTGGATGCTCACTACCCCAAATCCTGCCAACTACACTGTTTCTCCCTGTTCTCCCCGGATCCTTCATTCCCAAGCTGCCTCCTTGTTTTGACTTCCCTTTTCCACTTTAAAAACTACTTCTGCCTAGTTCCTCATTTTCACCTGGAATAAAATTGTTAAGCTTATTTAAAGTAGGTAGATAACTTTTTGTCTCATTGCTGTGAATTTCATGTTAATCATGGTTACATTACCATTTGTAAGTTAAACATAGTACTATTTCTTTCATTTGTTCATTTACTTTTTCTTGTATTAAATCAACAAATATTAATTTAGAAGTCCAAAGTCCATAAAGGAATGAGCTAAGTGAAAAGAAAGGATTTTAGCCCCTGTTTTCCTCAAGAACATGAACAGATGACTGGTATTCATCATTTCAACCTTCTTTTCTCATCTGTCTGCATTTTACAATGAGCACAATTAAATTGTCCAATCTTTTGCTTTGTTTCCCTCATACTTATAACTTTCAAAGTCACTTTTATAAGCTGTTAATTCAGTTTGAGTTTAGATTCAGTGATACATGCATTATTCCTTTCATACTTCCCCTGGATTTTATGTCCATCTTTTTATGTTCATTATTCTTTAATGTAAGATTGATAACAATATCTTAAAGAATCAAATTTGTTTTATCTAATATGCTTTGTTTTTAATCATATAGAAATTTAGCATATGATTTAAGTGTTTAGAATAGTGCCTGGCACATTGTTTGCTAAATAAATACATTCTTAGTATATATTATTACCTAGTTCTAATATTCCTTTTGTCTATATTATATACTTTAATATAGTTTTATCATTTTTGCCCATGAGCACATCACTTCCATTCACTCTGTCATAAATAAGTCCAGGAACGCAGTTCTGCTCATTGCGGCCTCAATTTCTTTTTTAAGAGTGGAGCTGGTGTCCTTCATTTGACAGACGAGATCTCCAGAAAACCGGTGTGGAGAGTAGAGGTTCCTCATAGTTCCTCTGCCAGGCCTTTTAAGGAAGTGAATTGTGGAAGAAAGTTTTGAACATCCTTTATGTGCTCTGGTTGGTTGGGCGGTGTGCCTGGCATCTTCCTCTGACACTATCATGTTTTCCTCTATTTCACTCCCAAACCTTTGCTGCCATATCAAATCAATTTGACTCTCACAGTTCTTTCTAACTAGTCAATTATGAACTCACCAAGAAAATGCTTTTCTTGTTAAAATCTGAGTGTTTTTGATAAGAACAACTTTGATCAAAGCTTACACTGAATCCGGAGGACTCAGGACTGGTCAGGAATTACAGGCATTTACTACCATAATGTCCTCACATTTCCATGCCAGAAGAAACATCTTGAAGGTAGTATAGTATCTAAGGGTTCAAATCATAGGCGTAACGAAAAGTGTACTTGTCCATGATCTATTTGGTATTTAATGATTTCTAATTTTGTTGTTTAAAAAGGCTTTACTTTTTTATTTAGGTACTCCTAAACCAACTATCAAGTGGTTGCGCAATGGTAGAGAGTTGACAGGCAAAGAGCCTGGTTTTTCCATCTTGGAAAATGGGACATTGTTGGTTATTACTTCTGTTACACTACATGACAATGGGGAGTACATCTGTGTGGCAGTCAATGAAGCAGGAACTACAGAAAAAAAATACAACCTCAAAGTGCATGGTAAATATGGGCAAAACTGCTAAAATCATAAAACTATGTGGCACTTTCTAATTCTTGTATATTTAAATTCCCTAATGTAATATTTCTTAATATGAACAGGAATAGATATATTACCAAAAAAAATCCTGCTGGTCAGGTTGTACTTGTTCATTTGCTTTAAAATTTCATATGATTTTTGATTTTGACTTTTCATCATTCAAATCCAAATGGGAGAAAGAGACACATACCAAAAATCTCCTGACCCTGATCTTGGCCATTTTACATTCTCAGAGGCAAGGAAAGTAACTGGTTTTGTGCACACATGTGTATGTATGTGAGTGTGTGTGAGAGAGAGAGAGAGAGAAGCAAGAGAGAGAGAGACTTCTCAATACTGTAGGCATATATAAGGAAATGTGAATATGTACTGTTTTATCCTCTTTTTACTTATGAAAAAGCACGTATGGTAGAATCTTATACCAACTACTCTGCACCTATTCTATTTCTATCTTTGTAATTGTTCAGTATCCCTAATTTTTTTCTGTTTCCTGCTAGTTTTCTTTGTTTTTTAAAAATTTTCTCAATATTTATTTATTTTTATTTCTTATAGTTTGAGATTATATTTTTTATTGTTGTGCTGGGGGTGTACTGTGGCATTTGCAAAAGTTCTTCAAACATATCAAATATATCACACTTGAATTGATCCCCTCCATCATTCTCTTTATCCCCCCCCCATTCCTGAAATAGTTTCAGTAGGTCTCATTTTTCCATTTATATACATGTGTATGCAATATTTGCACCATATTCACCCTCCTACACCCTTTCCCCACGTTCTCCCTCCTCCTACTTGTACCACCCCTCCCAGACAGGAACTGTTCTGCCCTCCTGTTCTCCAGTTTTACAAAAGAAAAAAAATGACATTTTTGTTTGTTGAAGATACCTACACAGGGAGTTTCCTTGTGACATTTCCATGTATATATGTATTATAACCTGAACTGGTTCATCTCTGTTTTTCTCCTTTCTACAAGGTCTCCATCTTGTGGTGATTTCAACAGGTTTGAAAATTCTATATTCATTCTTTTATAGGAAGTTTGCCAACTATACTCACCTTCTTAACTTCTTTCTTTTACCTTCTCTCTCTTGTATGTGACCTCCTTTTAGCGTGACCTGTTTTTCATAATATTGCTTGTGTTTGTATTAGGCTTATAGTCCACATATGAGAGAAAACATGCAGCGTTTGGTCTTCTGAACCTGGCTACCTTTACTTAGGATGATGTTTTCCAGTTTCATCATTTACCTGCGAATGATAAAATTTCATTCTTCTTTGTGGCTGAGTAAAATTCCATTGCATATAAATACCAAATTTTCTTAATACATTCATCAGTAATGGGCCATCTTGGCTGTTTCCATAACTTAGTTATTGTGAATAGTGCTGCAGTAAACATATGGATGTACAGGCATACACCCTGATTTACATTCCTTCAGGTATATCCCTAGGAATGGTATCAGTGGATCATATGGCAGTTCTATTTTTAGGGTTTTTTTTTTTTTTCTTGCAGTACTGGGGCCTGAACTCAGAGCCTACACCTTGAGCCACTCCACCAGCCCTTTTTTATGATTTTTTTTTTTTTTTTTCAAAATAGGGTCTCGTGAACTATTTTCCTGGTCTGGTTTTGAACCAAGAGTCTCCTGATCTCTGCCTCCTGAGTAACTAGGATTATAGGTGTGAGCCACCAGCACCTGGTCTATCTTTAGTTTTTCAAGGAGCCTCCATATTGTTTTCAATAGTGGTTGTACTAATTTACATTCCCACCAACAGTGAATGAGGGGTCCTGTTTCCCCACATCCTCACCAACATTTGTTGATGTTTGTATTCTTGATGGTAGCCATTCTAACAGGAGTGAGGTGGAAACTTAATGTGGTTTTGATTTGCATTTCCTTCATGTCCCAGGGATCAACATCCCTAATTCTTGCCTATCACATCCCACTGTGTGGTATACAGTGCTTTATTTAAACTTCCTCGGTAATAATGAGCATTTAGGTTGTTACCAGCTCTTTGCTATTAGAAGTACCTCGACGCCAAAAATCTTATACATGTGTTTTGCATAAATAAAAGTGCATGTACATTTTAAAATTTATTGAATATTAACTTCCATAGACACCAGGCAATATTTATTCCCATCAGTAAAGTCCCATGTGTCTTAAATTAAGGCCTTGTAGCTTGTCTTTTGAATAGTATATAATATAAATAAGTTCTCCCTTAAAGTTATACAGAATTTCATCATGAATTCAAACCCTGAAATAATAAAGTAGAAAAAAACCCAGCAAGGGTGTAATTTTACCAATAGATATATTGATCAAGACCTTTCATTTTATAAGAAGGCATATGTTTAAATATGACTAACCTTTCTAGCCACCACATATCTCATGATTTTCTTTCTAAAGGACTTTAAAAGGAAACTTGATAAATAACATTTATAATAAAACTATCCAGCCATGATTGCTCTTTCTTTACAGTTCCTCCGGAAATTAAAGATAAAGAACATGTAACAAATGTGTCAGTGTTGGTAAATCAGCCTGCCAGTCTTCTTTGTGAAGTGGAAGGTACACCATCACCTATCATTATGTGGTATAAAGATGACATCCAGGTAAATGGAGACATTCACATGTGTATAATCCCTTGCTAATGTACTTAAATAAAATGTCCAGATGTGAATTTCTTCTTAATAATTATAATCTGAATGTTTTAGTTTAATTTGTAACTGGATTTTAAGATTGCAGATAACACTGACCTTTTTCACCTTAAAAGGTGACTGAAAGCAGCACTATTCAGATTGTGAACAATGGGAAGATACTGAAGCTCTTCAAAGTCACTGCAGAGGATGCAGGAAGATATTCCTGCAAAGCAACCAATATTGCAGGCACTTCTCAGAAGTACTTTAGTATCGATGTGCTAGGTAAGGAAAACATTTCTTAAAATACTGCAGTTCAGATGCATTTGTGACATTGTATAGCACTGACTATATGACAAAGTAGAATAAATTGATAGAAGAAATACCATTTGTTTCACTAACTCTGTTCTTACTTTTGTTTTTAATCTTGATTACCCAATAACTGATGATACAGAATCTTTTATTTATAATACAAAGTCCTGTACCCTAAAATATCATCTACCCAGAATTGGTGCTATATTATGTAAAATGGGAAATTATATTCTTGCCAATTTCTCCAGTTAGGTGGGCAGGAAATACTTCTCTGGGAAGTAGCTGTAGGTAGATAAGTAGCTCTGTGATGCAGAGTGTAACTTGCTCATGCTGTGGACATCTGCTGATGCTGGTCGGCTGCACTTGAACTAGAGAGGCTAACAAATCCATTTTCCCTGATTTCTAGTTATTGTAGCTTAATCAGTGCAAACTGTAATTGTGGGAAGAGAAATCAGGGTAGGGAGAAAATTCTGAGAGTAGGAAGAGAATTTTAAGAGTGGGCAGCCAGAATAAAAAATTAGGACAGAAAACATTTTAATGGTGAGTATATTTTAACACTTAAAATTCACATTGTGATAAAATGACTTTCTCTCTTCAATCTTTTGTTCATCAAAATAGACATATAATTTGTAAACCTCTACTGAAAGTGAGGCCTATAATGATACTGCATTAAAATTAGCATTCTTGAGCACAAAAATAATCCCCCTCCTCAATCTTCTCAAAGCCTGAAATACTTTGCATTTGTTTCCCCTCCAAATTACCATCATTATATTTAAACATAGTCTATGTGAACAAATTAGGTAATGTTTCTTATCTCTGGTCTCACTGGCATTGCTTCTTGTGGTGCTCATTCCCTTCCATGATTTTACTTCCATCTGCATGCTGAAGACTACCAAATTTTTATCTCCAGCTCAGACTTCTTGTCTTATTTCTAGGAATAGATACCAAATACTCTCCTTAGTATCTTTTAGAATGTATTATTTACTTGTTTATTTTGGGCTTTTTTGTTTGTTTGTTTGTTTGTTTGTTTGGAGATAGGGACTCACTATGTGGCCCTGGCTAGCCTTAAACTAGTGATCCTCCTGTCTCAGCCTCCTAAGTGCTGGGATTACAGATAAGCTCCATCATGCCCAGCTCTTCTTAGTATCTTGACTTGAGTATCTCAGTCATGTGTCATTGAAGTCCTTATTGGCATATGAAACAGAATGAACATGTGTTCTGCATGGCCTCAGGATCATCACCAAGTGACCTGCACCTCCATCCATTTATTTGCTTCTTCCAGAACTTGCCTTTCATTCTTCTTACCACTTTGTTTCTAATTCCTGAAGCCTACATATATCCTGTCAAATCTATTTCCTAACTCTGGGTTAAATTATCTACTTCTTTCCATTCCACTGAGAAAGCATATTGTCATTTGTAAGATGAGCAAAGGTAACAAATAGCCCCATTTGCCTGCATACAACCTTTGCCACTCTAATTCATCCTTCACTTAGCAGCTATGTGGTCTTAAAGTAAAAATCTGATCACACAACCATCCATTCTGTACTGAAACCCTTCCATAGCTGGTCATTTCTTGAAGATGGAGACTAAGTACCTTAACATGGTTAGATGGTGAGGGAAGTGTGCAGAAGCTGTTAATATGTTTGATCATTCCAAGAATGATAAAAAAAGCTATCATATTATTTTTCATGTTGCATGTCATACCACTTTTAGCATATGATAAGGTAGAATTTTAACATTATAAGATTGATGTTAATTATGTTGTCAGTTACTTAAAATATATAGACATTAGTGCATTGCTTATGTGAGCTTCACTGCCAACTTACATTCTAAGCTCCTTTCTGATATGTCTTGAAATGATCCTGTGCTATCATGAGTCTTGTCGGTTGTCATCCTGCAAATCTTCCGTGAATGTATTCCTATGTTTAAATTTAACATTGGGTACATAGATGAGACATGAAAACAGATTATTGTGTGATATTGTATTTTTAACATTGAGATCTTGAAATACTGTAGAAATCATTGACCATCTGCTTTTCTTCCCCCAGCTGTTTGTGCTAAGTCACAGGTTTTCATGATAAAATGTCTTTGTTCAAGTTCCACCCACCATAATAGGTGCCAGCTCCCCAAATGAAGTCTCAGTTGTTCTGACTCACAATGCCACCCTCGAATGCCGTGTCAAAGGCACTCCCTTTCCTGTTATTCACTGGCTCAAGGATGGCAAGTGAGTATCTTTTCTGTATTTATTTCAAGGGTCTAATTGATAGAAAATAGATGTGTACACATCTCCCACTTAATCACTTTATCACATGGAATATTATTAAATAAGCATGAAGTTAAAATAACATTGCTCAAAAAGTCTTAAGGTAATATCTTTTATTATTATGACTAACAAAGCTTTTTATAAATGTTAGAGAATTATTTTATAAACATGGAGGAACTCAAATTTATTGTACACTAACATTCTCTGTTCAAAAACTACTAGTGGAAAATTCAAGACTTAAATTCCTTATTAAAAAGGAAAATGTGCTTATGACCACAAGAGGAATACTCAAGTCACTTCATTGGCAAATAGGAACCACAGAAGAGCAACTTCACATCACGACTTTAGAAAATTAAATGTCTTTTACATTTAATTGTGTAGACTAACTAGCAACTTATTACTATAGTGATGCCTTTATTATGCCAACAATTCAGTACAACTTTTTAAAAACTAGTATGGGTCTTCCTGGAAGAAACTTTATGGATTTCAAAGATAAAATTCTTAGGATACCATAGACTTTGATCACCATGATTTTTCAAGTATTAATGTAAAGCTGTTGCCCAATTACATGAAGTGAGCATTTTATAGTCGATTCTGTGTAGGAGAAATGGACTTCCTCAACAGCTATACGTGAGCCAGGTTTTGCATAAACTTCTTTTAATACTTACGATTATAAAGGCATTCATTCATATTTATTGCAATACCTACTTTTTAGAGAAGTTGGCATGGTCATCACCTTCAGTAAATGGTAACCATGCATTCTATCATGAACACTTTTCCAGATATCCTGAAGATAGTGGCTTGACCTGAAGTTCCTAAACTGTAATATCAAACTTAGTTTTTCTTTTCCAGCTGCAGTTGGACATTTAGGCTCTGAAAATCCAAAAAAAAAAAAAAACAATAAAAAGAGAATAAGAATGATAAATAATAATAACCCTGTGGGATTTCTGTTAACATTATTAAGCAATTTAAGACTGAAGTGGGAGTACTTGTCACCTCTAAGTGATAATTCTGTAGCTTTCCTTATAAAATGGTTTGATGATTTCATTCTTCTGAATGGGACTACTAATCTCATTATACTTTTCTTAATAGACTTTGATTCATATTTTAATTAAGAGAGACTAAATGGGGAGAGTAAAAATGGACCTATGGAATAATTTTTTTCTAGGCCTTTATTTTTGGGAGATCCTATTATTGAACTTATAGACAGAGGACAAATTTTACATCTGAAGAATGTACGAAGAAGTGACAAGGGGCACTACCAGTGTACTGTGTCTAATGCAGCTGGCAAGCAAGCCAAGGACATAAAACTGACTGTCCATAGTAAGTGTGATTTCCTCATGATTTTATTATCAGGAATTCTCATTATGAATTGAAAAACAGAGTTTGCTGTAATGTTCACTGCTCTTCTCTTCCACATTTAATCCTTTGAGTGCCTCTTCAAAAGAAGAAGAAGCCTCTGTTCATGTGTTTTAGAGTAGAACAGTACATTCAATTGTAATATATTCTGCATTAAGTATGGATTTAATTAAGTAAATTAGTGATTTTTATATGAAGTCAAGAATTTCCAAAATTGGAAAATATACACATAAATCAACTATCTACATTCTTGAAGGCATAGGAAAATAGAAATTTATAAAGATGTATGAAATACAGTGAAGCCAATAATATGCAAACAGTTCAGTTGTTTTCATTCATTCAGTCTCGGCTTTATACTTTACACGTGGTAATATTTTAAATACCAGATGGTTGGGCGTCTGTTTTATCCCACATGTATCCCTACCAGAAATTATGTTGCTCTTGTTTTCACTAAGATATTTAACACCCTCTGAGAAAGGTGACTGGCAAAGCAATTCCTTTATGAGTGGAACCATAAGGAAACACTCGAACACTGTGTTGCACAATAGAAAAATAGTGAAACTGTGTGGACCAATAATGCTGGTCAGGGCTCTCCATGCTGCCTTGTCTTCTTCCTTCCATTGTGTGTGACACTCAAGGGAAGTTAGACGCAGCAAGGTTGCCTCCTCACAGGATCTTACTCTTCAAAGCTGTCACCTGGTCACTCTATTACAGTCTTCTCATTCATTTTCTTCATAGCACTTATCACTTCTGAGATTGGTTTAACTGTGAATTTGTTTACTTATCTATTTCTTTCTAAGGAATCTAAACTTCATCAGAATAAGCCTTTATTTTGTATGTTCTCTACTTTATTGTTTGGTATATAGAAATTCTCAAGAAATATGTGCTAAACAAATGAATGTTCTAGTACACATCTATCAGTATGCTAGTTACTGGCTGGTGAATGACCGGTTAAAATCAAGATGACCTGTGAGTATAAAATGCAAACCATATGTCGAATACTTAGTATGAAAAACAATATATCTAATTAATACTTTTGCACTGATTACATGCTGAAAATATATTTAAGGCTTATTGGGCTGAGTAAAATATATCATTAAAATTATTTTTTTCTGTTTCTTTTCATATTTTTAGTATGACTCTAGAAAATTTAAAATTTACATGTGATTTGCCTTGAATTTCTATTGAAGAGTAATAGATTAATTAGAAAGAACTTAGGCATTCTGCACAGACAGACCTGTGTTTGGCTCCAATCTCTGGACGTTGAATAAATGCCTTCATTCCTCTGAGCTTCTGTTTTCTCAGTCATAAAGTGGGGATAATACAGTGTCATCTTGAGGATAAAATGGTAAACATGTTATACGTCGATTACTTGGTGTTTAGTGATGTACGTTATTCATTTATCATTGTCTATTTGGTAATTAAATTGTCTTAAAATATACACAGAATCTAGCTTGATTTCTATGTAACTTAACTGCATTTCAAATCTCCCTTTTAAATGTTAACTATCTTTATATAAAGTTTGAATAGCCCCAAAGAAATCATATTAAATGCAGGTTTTTAAATTATCTGTGTCCATAAATAGAAGCATATGCATGAAATCAGTCAAGAAAAGACATGTCCTCTTAAAAATAAAGGGATAACATTACTGAAAGATTAGCTATACCAATTACAACCTAAACAAAAATGTTATTGCTACCACTGTCCTACCAAAGCCAGACATTTAAACAATAAGTACAGTATTTTCCCCAAACTATTGAACAGTTTTCTCTACACTGTTGTTTGTTGCCAGGGCCTGTGTTGAATACATTGTGGCTCAGCAACACTGCTATTTCTATGGGACTTGTCGTCAGACACCCAGGAGAGAAGGCTTCTGGGATTGTCTGAGATGAAAGACATTATAATATTGTGAAGTTCTGAGTATCATAATTAAGGAAATAATGTCATTTTCTCTGTAGCAAGCTCTTCTGCACCTCCAAATGGATAATCTTAAGCTTACATTACTTCATTTGTGAAAATGTTTTCATTCCAAAAATGAACAAAAATATCGCAACAGATACTGTACTTTGTATAACTCTGATTTGCTCTTTTTCCTTATTTATACACTGACATGAAAATGAAACAGGAGGATCAGTACACCTATTAGGTAAAAATGATATATCTGAATCAGGAAGAAATGGAGACAAAATAAGAGGGAAAAGTAAAAGAGAGGGAGGGGGAAAGGAAAAAGAAAAACTTGATATTAAAGAAGGAAGAACTTGAAAAGAACTTTTAATATCCTATGGGGAGGTTGTGCAGATTAATAACTAGTAGGTCTAAGTCAAGGGTCTTAAACCTGAAGTCTGTGGCTAGGTTTCAGAAGATTGGACAGCATCCCTAAATTGCATAAAAGTCTTTGAGTGTGTATTAATAGGCATGGTTTACTGTGCAGTGTATTCCTAACCTTGTGTGTACTACCCTCCCCCAAACAGAAATAGTACAGTTCTCTCGCAAATATGCACGAGTTCAAATGAAACAGGCTGTGAATACTTATTTGGCACATCTAAGCAGTGGATGGTATGTTGTTCTATATCCATTGAAAATGTTCTTTGAGTAAATTTTCTCAAATTCACAAATATAAACTATTAAAGTAGACCCTGTTCAGTACAGATATTTCACTGAAAGACATTGATGGAGGGTAGAAATTTGTTTGAACCTATGTTCTTGGCTTTATTTTTTATCATACAACTAATTAGGCACGTTAACTGGCTTTGACATAGTCTCAAATCAAAAACAAATCTAAAGCTTAAATAAAATGCGCTATAAGATTTCAAAATGGTGGCTTGATTTTTGTATTATCTGTAGCACAACTTAACAAACTTTTTTTAAATAAAGGGTATGAGAATAAACATTGTAGGTTTTACAGACCATGAAGTGAAATCAAGGCTATATATAAACAATTACATAACAAGATAGAAGCATATTTCTGCAGAATTATTTATGATACTCTTTTTCGGGTAATCTTAAAATTGTAATTTTTATTTTTTATTTATTTTTTGAATATACTGGGGTTTGAACTCAGGTTCTCATACTTGTTAGGCAAGCTCTACCACTTTCACCACTTCACCAGTCCTTTTTTGTATTGGGTATTTTCAAGATAGGCTTTCTTGAGCTATTTTCCTGAGCTGGCTTTAAACCATGATCCTCCTGATTTCTGCCTCCTGAGAGGCTAAGATTATAAGCATGAGCCTCCAGCATCCAGCTTAAAATTGTAATTTTTAAATACTAGTCTACTAATGCCAGGATAGAATTGTAGGGTAAGGGATAACATTTCACTTAGTTGGAGTTGGAAGTTACTATTTTCCCATCATCCAAATCAGTTGCAAATGTTCATCAGTTAATGGTGATTTGTAACAAGATTATTTCATCTTTGAAAATATCTTTTTACACAGATAGGTACTGCCTAATACTGGTTTTAATTCACAAGCTATGATTTTAGTTGAGCATGCTCATATGAATTTATAGAATTCTGTTACAGCTTTCTCTTGATGTTTGACTTTCAAAATGCTGTCACATGGCCAATTGAGCCAATTCCCGTTAAAGTCTAGATGAAGGTCCACAGTTTCAATGATAAATGGATTTTGCATATGGAAACTTTCTTGCTTTTCTATCAGACCTTGCTAAAATTGTAGTTTGAGCTCAGAAAAATGCAGCTCAGATTTGTGGGATGATTATTATCTCACTTTTTGCTTGAACTTTTGATAGCATGTGAATGCATAAAGCAGTTTGACATTATTTCTAATTAAAACAACTGAATGACTACCATCGTCTCAATTTTGCATATAGACACTGTTTCTGTCTGTACATTTTAGGTTAAATTCAACTATTAGTATCAATTTTACATGAAAACTAATTTCTAAAATTAATTTCTGATTAGTTTAGAGAACTAATTTCTAAACCTCTCAATATTCAATAATAATGTTTAATAATGATTATTGTTAATTCAGGAAACAAACGAAAAGTCTCAGTCCTGAGCTAAAAAAATTTGCAGTAAAGCTTTAGTATTTTTAGGTAAAGTTTTAGGCGTAGAATGGAACTAATGTGGTGAGGTAAATCTGGGTGTTCAGATCCACTTCTGACAAAAAGTCATGGAACTGATGCTGCTTAACTCTGAAGGCAAATAAAATACACCATTAACACTACTGGTTCATTAACACATCCTGATTTTACTCAAAGCGCTTGTTGATAAGTAATAAAAAAATGAATAGACTTTTGACACCTCGCCTGTTAATATTATAAACTTCTTTAACCCCTTTTTTTTTTACTTCAAACATATTTGTACCACCATTATTTGTGACAGATCCTAGCAGATTCCACTTCAGGTGTATAATGAGTTAGTGTTTCTCTTCAACTTCTCTGAAAATATCTTTGTTAATTGTTAATCCATGCAGACTTAGCATTCCATGAAGAATTTAACATCTAAGAATTCCATGCTAAATTTAGTATTCTTGCATGCCTCACTTTTCCTCAAATATACAAGAGCAGTCGACTTAGCAGTATCAACTTGTTAAAGTATAAGAACACTCCAGAAAAATTGCCTTTAAAAACTGTTAATATAGCTCCCAACTTTTCAGTAATTCTCACTAAAAGGCTAATAATCTTTAAAAAATTGATTTTCTCTGGATACATTTCTTTAGCCGATAGACTCATACCTGATTTAATTAAATAAGAATTGGTAAGTGACTTTCTTTTCTTGGCTAACAAACTACTCAGAAACTTGATTGTCATCTGATTTTTGACATTTTATTTTCATGAAGAAATTTTAATTTCCTAATTTTTCAAACTGTTGCTTTCCTTTGAATTGGGAACACTGTGATAACTACTTAGTCTGCTGGTGTTTATTCTTTTAGAATACCTATATCGTTACTCCAAAATAAACACTATGCTTGCCATTTAGCTTGATAACAAGCAGATCATGTAATACTGTGCCTTAATGCAGTATTTGAAGTCCAATATTCTGATTTCTTCTTGTTTTGATGTAAAGAGTATTCACTGGTAACAGAAACAGAATGAAATATGATAGTGTGATATGCATGGCACTTGCAGTGCTGTCAAGTTATAGCCATGTCACTGAAGCTTCTGGTAAGCCAGGCACCAGTGGAAGCAGTGAGCACACACACAAATCTCTGTCTGAACTACTTCTCCATTGTTGAGTTAAAGTAGACATGAATGTTATGTAAACAGATGAATGTGACTGTATTGTAATAAAACATTGCTGGACACTAAAATTAAATTTTATAGAAATTTTACATGCCACAAAATATTATTATATTGTTTTTTCCTAACTATTAAAAAATGCAACAGCTCTCCTTAGCCGAGCATCTCCTGACCTATGTTTTGTAGTTGGCTGGTGCCTGAAGTTTAGAGTATACCACCTTAAGGGAAATGATTTCACTATCAAATTTACCTCATAGTTTGGCATTCCTTAAATTATAGGCAAGAAAAAAGTGTGTATATGAATGTTTGTGACTGTGAACTAATTCTCAGAATGATTATCAGAAAAGAGTAAGGTTCTCCACTTAGCACCCAGGTCTTGTTTTCTATTGCCTCTAATGGAGAGAGCCAGGGCTCTTTGGAGAAATGGTTGATTCTAGGGCTGGGGCAGGAAATACATGAGGTGAATGTAGAGCATACAGTAGAGCCAGAAATTAACCATGTTTTATGTCAAAGGAGATGGGAATAGCGTCTCCCTTCAAAAGGAGGGGGAAAAGAAGTAACTTCCTAGCTCAGAAACACTGTATTAGCCAGGCTGTTGTGTTGATGTTATCTGTCATAAGTCATTTCGACAGCATGTACTGTTGGTATGACGCAATAAGAATGGCATCCGAATACCCAGTCTAACCCATAGCCCTAGTCTAACCATAAAAAATTATGCAAAATATTCTAAAAGTTCATTAAAATTACTTTAAGAACACTCGTATTCATGCATGTCATTTTATTCCTTTAAAATTGTTGCATTTAGGGCTGGAGCTGTGGGTCAAGTCATAAAGCAACACCCTGGCAAGATCAAGGCCCTGAGTTCAAACTCCAGTACCACCCCCCAAAAAATGACAAAAGAAAAGTAAAATTGTTACAGTTGTTGCACAATCCTACAATGATCATGTTTAAAATATGTAGCAAAGATTGAGCAAGTTGAAATGTGGCATGAGAAACCAGGCATGAATGAGGAAGAAACACATGCAGTTAATTAAATGAGTACAGTTGCATGAATGGACTTGTGACAGTTGAAAAAAATTGCAGGATACAAAAGTTAAAGACTGCACAGCTGTTTTCAGTAGCTGGTTCTGAAAGCACTTGGATGTAGACCTGTCATAGTTCATGGGGAGAGGGCTTGCAGTTATCTCACATCTGACATTTCTGTTCCCTTGGCCTGATTTCAAACTTACTGTGTCTATTTTACATGAGGTTTTGCTTTGTTAATACAACTTTCTTAGTTACTCTGATACCAGCTCCTGGACTTAAATGAGCCCTCGAGACAAAATCTGTGACACTGTTTTCTTAAAATCTGAAACCCAAAAGGAGGTGACAGAGATGGTTTTGTCCAGACAGTCCACCAGTTATCAATAGATAAATCACAGACTTCTGTCTTTAATGTACTTCAAGCTCATTATTAAACATCTAAAATTTGCATGCACATGATAAATGTACGAGACTTATTTTTTGTTCTGAAATCTTTTGTAGTTCCACCTAGCATTAAAGGAGGGAATGTTACCACGGAAATATCAGCGTTGATTAACAGTGTAATTAAGCTGCAGTGTGAAACACGGGGTCTTCCAGTGCCTGCTGTTACTTGGTATAAGGATGGCCAGCTAGTCCTATCTGGCTCACAAGCACTTTACAGTGACAAAGGACAGTTTCTCCACATTCCTCACGCACAGGTCTCTGATTCAGCAACATACCTGTGTCATGTAACTAATGTTGCTGGAACTGCTGAAAAATCATTCCAGGTGGACATTTATGGTAAGGAAAAAAGATGTTTAAATTGGCTACCCTTGTACCTTCTTAATTGCTGATACCCAGTTTCCTCAGTGATGAAGCCTTGGAGGGTTTGGTTCTTCACAATAGGCATGGATAAGATTTGGGAGATTTTGTTAGGATTTAGAAAAATATTTACAAAGGTTAAGGTTGCTAAGAAGTGGTTCATTTCGTCTAACAACCTTTGCCCATGGGACTTGGAACATCTAGACCATTTGGCTCTTATGGTGAAGGCAAAATTATTGTTAGGATTAAGATTAGTCTCCACTATTTGTCTTTTGATTGTACAAAGTATTTCAGAGTAATTAGAATAGCTGCAGATCAGCTGAGCCCAGAAATTATTCCCTGAACAGTGTAGAGAGAGATGGGCACATAGGCAGGTTCTACATTCAAAGCATAGCAGGGGAAAGAAACTCCCTTTTGTTTCATTATGATGTGTTTTATGAACAAAGAATTGCCTGAATTATTACTATTTTTTCTGCCTAGTTCCTCCAGTGATTGAAGGTGACTCGGCCATACCTGTGAATAAGCAGGTTGTTATTGCTCAGTCATTAACCCTGGAATGCAAAGCCGCTGGCAACCCTCCTCCAGTTCTCACCTGGTTAAAAGATGGTGTGCCCATAAAAGACAGCGAAAACATCCGCATAGAAGCTGGTGGGAAGAAACTCGAAATCTTGAGTGCCCTAGAAGTCGATGGGGGACAGTACATATGTGTGGCTGCCAGTGTGGCAGGAGAAAAGGAGATCAAATATGAAGTGGATGTCTTAGGTAAATAAAGATGCCATTGCCCAGCTTCTCAGAGTCACAGCAAAACCTAATTAGGTTATTAAATAATTATTTTGTTCATTCAATTAAAGCAATCAAAGATAATGTATACTTGTCTAAGTCTAGAGTACACATCACCAAGATGTGGATTTGTCATCAGAGTCCCATGATCCACATCTCACATAAATATTTTGATGGGTTCCCTGTATTTGTTAAATTAGTAGGTGCATTCTTATATCTATGATAATATTTGATTGCAGTGTTCCAGAAAATTTTTTTTTGTCACGAACGCTATGCTAACAACAGGAAACAAGTCTGTGGATCTAGGGAAGGCACTGTGCAACCTTGAGTCCCTATCTTTACTTGTAGATCGAACGTTTTTGAATAGATGGCCTAATTTTGAGGAGTTCTCTTCTACTGTTCTTATAAAAACAAGCAATATAAAATATGAATTGACCTTACATTCACACATTGTAACACTGTTGTACTAGCTAGGAAAAGTCTATGCATGTCGTAAATTCATTCAGTGATCCTGGCAAGTATTTATTGTAAAATGCATTCCTGATACATTTCAAATCCTCTTCATGTACAAATTACTGTGGTAATCATCAACCTTCTAAACTACAACTTAGTATTGATGTAATGGTGTGTTTTGCTTGTACACATTACTTTCCATGTTACATTGTGGGTTACATACCCCTGTTGTTTTCTAGTGCCCCCAACTGTGGAAGGAGGAGATGAAACATCGTACCTCATTGCGATGGTTAATAACTTACTGGAGCTGGATTGTCTAGTGTCAGGCTCGCCTCCACCGACTATCATGTAAGGGCTTTGGTATGTCTTCCAGAGACCTGTCGCATTTTGATACGAACATTTCAGAGCTGTTATGAAAGAATTTGTCATTCAAAAGTGAAAATTATAAAGTCCTAGTCCTCTTTAAAAATACATAGCCTACTTAAGGCAAATTTTATGTGATACTCAAAGGGCACCTGAATTCTCTCTATTTAAGAAATTTATTGAATTGTTCAATTCATTAAGAAATTACACTCAGTCAAGAGGGACAGACTGTTAAGCAATATTAACATCAGATCTTCCTGAGGTGCTGAAATGTTTAACAAACTACTAAATAACAAGAATGCCAGAAATATTAGAGAAATAGAGGACATTAAAATGCATGTGCTGTTTCTCTTATTCCTTCATTCACAAAGCATTTATTAAATATCTTTCATTTGCAAAGTGGGATTAGGGATGCAAAGAAACAGTTGGTTGACCAAGAGACTGAGATATGTTCACACATGATTATAAAACTAAATGGAAAGTGATGTCACATGAAATGTAAAAATAAGATGTTATTTGATTTCAGTGTTGTATTTATAAATGTCTTTAAACTGTGTGTATTTTTCAGGTTAATATTTAACTATTGAAAGGAGCAATGTGGATCATTTGCCTCTTTCTGTAAGCTAAAATTATTAGAATGAAGAACTCAATTCATAGTTATTAGGACCCAACAGAATACCAACTTCTGTGTTAGGCCATGTTTCCTTTTCTCATGTCTTTTGCATTCACAATTTATTTTACATAGTGAATAATTAGGAAATCAAGCAAATACAAACTAGAGAAAAATGTAATAAATATATACGTATGTGTGTTTACTATGCAAATCCGGATGTCTTTTTGCCTTTCTCTGTAGGTGGCTGAAGGATGGTCAGCTAATTGATGAACAGGGTGGATTCAAGATTTTATTAAATGGACGCAAGCTGGTTATTGCTCAGGCTCAAGTGTCAGACACAGGCCTTTATCAGTGTGTGGCAACAAACACTGCTGGAAACCACAGGAAGGAATTTGAAGTGACTGTTCATGGTATGCTTAAGAAGGGACAGGAGCATATGTTTTAACTTAATTTAGGCATTGCAAATTGTTACTGTAGCTCAGTAACCTGGGTAAATACTGAGTTGTGCAAAGTTCTGAGCAAAGCACGAATTTCAGTTAAGTAATGGTAGAATTTAAATTGCTTTACTGACACAGAGATTCAACCAAGAGGAATCACATGAGTAAGTTTAGACAGATTTTAAATGTTAGGAACTATATTCTACACAGACTGCCAGGATCTGAGGAGTGAGACTGAGCTAGAAGAGGTAGGCAGCAACTTTCAAGTAGAGGGGTTGTGTCAGCATTTATGGGGTTATCCCAAACCGGAGCAATTCTGAACACAGAACTCTCCAGAAGTGAAGGCTAAGGGTGTAATCGTAGGATCCAGGGAACATAAGTACATTCACAGAACTGGCACATTCAGGTTATAACCATTAATCTAATGACAGGAACAAGTCTCTGCCAGGGTATTATGTGTCTCTCACTTGCCAGAAGAACTTGAGAAGGAAGGGAATGAAATGAGAAACAGAGTCATTTAGAAGCCACCAGAAGAGATGTCTGTGGATGTCAACTTTGTTCTGAACTCTGTCCCTGTAGACTTGGTTTCTTGGGTTGGGTTTCCCCATGTCTCATGATGGGATGTAGATAATCCTGATTCTCAGTTTCAGTTGCAAATTCTTGAGAGAGAATCATCTGGCAGACCCTGCTTAAATCAAGTTACCATCCCAGGCTTAATCAGCCTTGCTGGGAGCAGTCACATGGCATAAGTACTGCTGAAGTCTCACCCTGATTTAATGATGTAGCTCAGAGAAAGGGAGAATCATTATGATTGGGCAAACATACCAAAAGTGTAATCATACCTGATGGATTGCCATAATAATATATTCATTTTGCTTGTTCTTTGGGGAATTAGAGATACTTAGTTAAGAAATAAGCAGTATCTAAACATGCTAAAAGCTATAAATTAAGTTCATGGTGAAATTTCTTCATTTATCGAAGTATTTTTCTCTTCCTAAGTTTTGAGGTTTCAGGTCCTTTATACACAGTTTTAAGTGGAGGACCTCCACCCATTGAGGTTTTCACTCTCTTCTTCCCTTCCTTCCATCTAGTTCCTCCAACAATCAAGTCGTCAGGCCTTTCTGAGAGAACTGTAGTGAAACACAAGCCTGTTACCTTACAGTGCATAGCCAATGGCATTCCAAACCCATCCATAACATGGCTGAAAGATGACCAGCCTGTGAACACTGCCCAAAGGAACCTCAAAGTAAGTGTAAATATTACTGAGACCAAACTCAGAAAGCTGAGTACATCTTCTAGAGCCTTCATATTATTTCTTTATAACTGTAGATTTTCCTTTTGGATAGATTTTGCAGAAGATTTATTAAAATATTATACATTTTTCTTAGTGTTTTTGGTATGAAATTAAATAAAGATAAAATAACCTTAACAATGATACATTTTAGCATGATGGTTTCTTTCTATTATTTTGATTTATGCCTGTCTTAACTGTTAAAAACTGGTATCTTATGGATGCATTACACTCACCAATAATAAGCTAACATACCCCAATATATTCACCACTGATTAAAATTAAAGTCTTATCTACATAAACCTAAGTGAAATATGTCTTGAAAAACATTTTTAAAAACTAGTTTATGAGCTTCAAAAGGGCAGAGGTATAAACGGTCTCTGTGAGTATGTTCAGTTCTGTGTTCTCAGGTTCAGTATGGTCCCTGGCATATAATTCTGTCTTAGTACATATTTAAGGAATTAGTAGGTATATAGATAGACAGGTAAATATATGACAGATCTCAAACCTGAGTAATCTAGCCGATGCATTTAAAAATCAAAATCAAAAGATTTTACTACTAGGATCAGGTTACTTGATGAATAAGGGCTTGAATTTTCCTTGTAGTATTGAGTCCTTATCTTAATAGAAGTGATAGAGAGCTGTTCATTTATTTTTTCCTACTCTGAATAGAGATAATCTTACATCTTTGTGCTAGTGAAAATTTCAGAAACTATATAGGAGTTAAATTGGTGAAATAATGGAAAAGAGCTAAGTATTACTGAGGAGATATATATATATATATATATAGGCAAGAAACTTTACTGGAGAGCATGACACCTCTTGAGGACCTAAAATGAGCCAGGAGTCTGAGGAAGGGCACAAGGAACACTGGAGAACTGGTAGGAAGCACTTACATAAGACTAATGATTTTATTTTTACTCTGATGCAATGGGAGGCCTTGAGGAGTTTTTTTGAGAGTAGTGACATGATCAGATTTGCATTTTAAGTATAGTCATGCATCAATTAATGATGGGGATACATTCCGGAAATGTGTTGTTAGGTGATTTCATCATTGTATAAATATCATAGAGTCAACTTGTACAAACCTAGATGGTACAGCCTCCTATACACAGGCTACATGGTATATATCATCTATCTATCTATCTATCTATCTATCTATCTCATTATCATTGACAAAAGCATTGTTGTGTGGTACATAGTGTAGTTACCTGAACTGGTTCCAAAGAAGAAATCGGAGGAGCTAAGAGTAGATCTGTAAAACCAGTTAGGATCTATTTGTATTGGTCTAGGAGAGACAGAAATTTAGACTCACATGCTGGCTACAGACAAGGGGATAATTGAATGGGTTTGAGAGTTATTTATTCATCAAAGCTTTGGGGTTAATGAAAGATTATTTATAAAAGGTGAGGGAGAAGAATGTTCAATGAGGACTCCTAATCTACATAACTGCATAGATAGAGTTGACAACCACTGAGATGGGATACTTTGGAGAAATTTCAGGGAAGAAACAAAAACTAATTTGAGTTTTAGATTTTTGGGGTCTGAAATGACTTTGAGATAAACTAGTAGGAATGTCAGTAGATCAGTGACTCTGTGGTTGTGGAGCTCATCAGAGAGCTCTGGCTGGAGATATTGGGCACAAATGAGTTAATCCCAGGGATAAAGAGGAAGAAGATGAATTTAATTCAGAATCTTAAGGAATTATGACATTTAAAGGCCATGTGCAGTATTCCAGAGGTAAATATAAGTGTATGAAAATCTGTTACTTAACATGTTTAATACAGTATAACTGGAAAATAGGTTAAGTGGGAATTCACATGGGACTTTAGAGAGATCATCTGGAGACAGAATGTGGTGAGCCTGGAGGGCTATGCTGAGTTCAGATTTCATTCTGGACAAGGTCAGGAGCCATGAATGAGGTTTGAATGGGGACTGGTGAAAGTATCAAATTTCCATTTTAAATAAATTATTCTGGCAACAGTATGCAAGATAGATTAACAATTGGGGAGGTTTGGAGACACTGAAACATCAGTTGAGAAGCCATTATAATTCCACAGTGGTTGTGGAAATGGAAAACAGGGGTTCTGAAAAACATGCTGTGGTATAATGAATAGCAGTCAACATAGGCTCCAAAACCCAGATGACTGGAAAAATTGTGGGTACCACTGGGAAAGCTCAGTGAAAAGGATGTCTTAGAGATACAGGGAATAATTTATGAGGTTAGTTCTGGATAGGTTAAATTTCATGTACTAACCTGTCCAGCAGATAGTTGGAACTTGAGTATAGAGCTCAGGAGGCAAGTTGAGGCTAAAACTATGAGGGGTCTCCATAGAGTGTTTCACTAATGCCTTAGGTTTTGATGAAAACCATCAAGGAGTTAAATGTCCTGCTTATGAGTCAGAAAGAGAAAGCAGATTCTGTAAAGTAGTCTAAGAAAATGGGAGAATAAGAATTGAGGCGTGCTGTATCTGTAACATCCAAAGAGTATAGAGACTGTCAAGGATTTAGGTAGTCAGTGATAACAGAATGCTACAGAGGGTGGGAGAAGGTTTACTACATCAACTACTGGACCGTATGATGGGGAATTATAGTGAATAAGGAACAATCAGATTCAAAGAATAACTTCTGAATCACCACCTTCAAAGTCACGGAGGCAAGTTGCAAAGAGTTAAGAGGGAAATGAGGAGAAACAATCAGAAAGAATGTACGTGCACTCCCGTTATTTACATTTTATAATCTTTACTGTTTTTCTGACCCCCATGACAATTTAATCCAAAAAGGTTTTTGTTTTTATAGTATTTGTGAAGTGTTATGTAAATGTGCTCAAGTTTTTTTCAAATAACTTAAATTTTCATCACAAACTTCATGGTTCAGTGCGAAAATCTCTTATTCAGTGGAGTTTTATGACTATACCGGCAGACTGGCCTTAGGTGATGTTAATTTGTGCTTTCCAATGAGTAAAACCAAGCTTTTCAATCAAATAGCCTGTTTTCTTTTGCATAATGAAGTGATCTGGCTCCAATCTGTCAAGGGATAACTAAGATATTGGCAAACATAGATATTATAAATTTAAATACAAATGTTTCTGTCTCGGCAAATGTTTCACGTCCAAGTACAAAGAATAAAATGCTGCCATGCTTTCTGCTCCCAATTAGATACAGTCTTCTGGTCGAGTTCTACAAGTTGCCAAAGCGCTGTTGGAAGATGCTGGCAGATACACGTGTGTGGCTACCAATGCAGCTGGAGAAACCCAACAGCACACTCAATTGCATGTGCATGGTAATGTAATTTCCATATCTTAACAAAATATTTTTATGGCTCTTTTCTTCAACATGGTGGGCTCATTTTACTGAGTTACAATTTAAAAATTTTAAATTTTGTCTGCATGAAGAAAGCATAGATAGTTAATTGTAATTATTATGATATTAGAATACATGATCATATTAAGGTGTTCAGTGTTCAGGCATCAAGTGGAATGTCCTGTGTTTTAAATTATCCACATTCTTTCAACTGATAATTTTGTACAGATGATTTTGTTGGAAAAGACAAAAGTTTTAGGGTTGTACCTTAGTCTTGTCTGTAATTTTATTGCCTTGCTTATAAGAGATATTTTGTGAATAGAAGCTATCCTTAGCTCAGGATCTTCTCCTGTGTCCTTAATAAAAAGTGTGGATGGCCATGGAGAGTGTCATCAATATCACAACTTCACAGTAAGCATGAAGGGCTGCAAGACCTTCAATAGAAGGCTTTTGTTCTCGGGAGGCTCACCAGGAAAGGTCAAGAATTGGAGGCATGCATTTCCCAATTCAGTCAGGGTATTCCCAAAATGTTAGAAAGAGCTCTATGTACTTTTTATTCATTTTCTGTAATTCTCGTGATTGTTTGTTCAGCCTTTTATTCCTTCAGTCATTCATTTATTCATATTGGCATTCTACATTCTACCCAGAATAATGTAACTAACTTAATTCTAGTTACATAGTAGGTAGTCAAAAAATTTTAACAAATGGAGGTGAATTTAAAATTTTCATTTGGATATTGGATTTTTCTAATTTGTTTATTTCCTTTTATTTGGATCAACCAGTTAAAAGATTCAAATAATCTGTTTCTGACATGCTTCCAATAAACCAATTTATTCTTTCTCTAGTGCCTCAAGTATGAACACCTAACTTAAGGATGTATACACACACAAAGCATATTCCTTAAGAGGGTCTTTTTTCTTTCCCTGAGTATTTAATTTGAAGCACAATATATGAATGTAAGTGTTTTGGAGTTGGTTTCCTGTGGTTGAGGACAGGCTGATACTGCTTTCCCTCAAGTTCCTTTGACCTTACTTGTTCTTCATAAGTCACCTCTGTCTTCCAAATGCTGTCTGACAACTGTGGCCAGCAACTACTCAGACTTACACTTCTATCTACGAGTATGCTAGGAGTGAGCTTTCTCTCCTCTCTCAGAGTTTCCTTCCCTGAGGATCCTTCTAGTCTCCTTTCATATTAAAAATGCAGTTTTCTGAGCCCATTCCTAGATCTCCTAAAACAACATCTGATTCGGGTGGTCCATGAACCAACATTTGTAAAACTTTGGGTGAGACATTAAAAGCTGGGTTAGAGATTTGCCAGTGTAGTCAAGAATGACTGAAAACTAAGTCCCTGAAAGAAATTAAGTATTCCATCAAATAACTAGCAACAATAGACAAGAAAAAGAACTGATGCCTAAGAAAACAAGTCTGTAAATCTAAGTTCTGAAGATAATAACAAAATTCAGTTGGCTAGAGATGCAATTAGGGTACACATCCACATGGAAAATCATCAAAGAGAAGGGGAACATGCTGGAAAACATCTGGGTTGATGTGAAAAGAAAGAGAAACAGAAGGTTAATCATTGAAAAGGTTTATGAAAAATTGCCAAGTCAAATGGAGAATATAAATAATCTTCTTGATACAAATCCAGAATAGAGATCAGATATAATAGTAGCTTAAAACAGTTCATCTAATATAATCTTCATTCATCTTGTTGAAAGGGGAATAAATGGTAAAGCAAGTTTCTCATACTAATTGTGATCAAGCTGGAGGAAGTGGTTGGCAATGTTTATGTGACTGGATTCTGAACAGAGGGCTGCATCTTCTCTTGGTACTCAGGATGGTAATGTCACATTGGAAACAAGAGGCTCCAAATGTGAACCTTTCGTCTTCCATACATGTTTTAATAACACCAGAGATAATTGGAAATGTTTAAAATGTGAGGGAATTTCTAACACATTGGTTAATGAATGACTTTGGAAAGACCTCCTACCTTAAAAGGACAAATTAATGTAATGTGAAAAACTGTATAAAATTGTATGGAATGTGGAGAGAGTAGCCGAAAGGCAGCATGCATTGAAATACTCGAATATTACTGGATTATTATGTAGATACATAATTAAGTTTCTGTAAAGACATAATCAATCTTAGAAGTCAGCAGAAGAAATTATAGTTTGAGGAACAACAGTAACTAGCCCTTTTCTACTCATGTTCTCTGAATGCTTCCAAAGTATTACTACATTCAGATATGGGCTATATATTATAAGAAAGAGATTGACATATCTATAGGAAAGCAATAATCATTCAGTTTAGTTCAGTTATTAATTTCTTTAAGCAACTCTATAGTTATGTTTGAAGTTAGGATTTGTTTAATCTCAGTCTTCATTGATTGGTAATATAGTCAGCAGATAAGCACTTGTTATAGTTGTCATCCAAAATGTTCAATCCTAAAATACAAATCATTCCAACTGTTTCATATTTCCCTTTCATGAAAAAAGATGTTATATTCTGCCATTCTTCTCAACCATAGAAAAATGAATGGGAGAAAAGCTTTTCCAAGAGCTGAAGTAAGGCCACATGACCTCTTGGACTAGAAGAGCAACTCATGACCACGAGAACATGAACACTCTCATGGAACTTTCCAGAGAGGAGTTCTGTCTGTTACAAGTTTCAGGAGCCCTCAGTAGGTGGTCTTTTTTTTTTTAATCATCAAAGTTTTATAATTCTGGAAGGTTTTATTCTCTAGACCAAACTATGAAATTATATCTAAACCTCAAATATTTGCCAAGGAAGACAGATGTTACCACAAACAAGTGATAATTTGGGGCCTAATGGTCTCAAGCATTCATTTCATCTGCACATAATTATTTCCTAGGAAAAAACAACCAAGGTGAAGCACTCAGAAGAAGTAGCATGTTGTGGTTAGAAGAATGGGCTTTGCCTCTGGGTCCTACATTGTCAATTAGTGTCTGCAGGACATTGAGCTTAGATGTTATCTTTCTCAAAACTTAAGAATTTTCCTCTATAGGATGGGAAAAATAATAACAGTATCTTATAGTCATTGGGGCTGTCTGAGGCTTAAATGAAAAACCTTACATAAAAATCTTAGCCTGGTGCCTGGCTCCCAGTCAGCATCTGTAAATGGTAGCATAAAGACTGTTTTGGCAAACACATGTTTGGCTCCTGGCCCCTCCCACTGCACTATTTTCACAAATATATCTAAGATCCTGCTTCCTTTACCATTGGCTAGGAATCCTCTTGGGTCTGTATTAGTTGTCTCATAAAAACATTAGTAGAGCACCCCTTATTTTTACTTCATATTTTAAAAGCATTTGCTTGGCTAACATCTGCTAACACCCACACAAAAAAGGTTTCTCTGTCATTTCTGTGTTTTGTTAATAGCTCATTTGTGACTCAAAGGAGACCTGGAAATTTTGTACGGAACTTTTTTCTTTCTTGTTTTAATGTTAAGTTCGGTTCAAAGCACTACTGTGTCATATTTTTGTTGTAGATGAATTTATTCCTCATTTTTTCATAATTTCAGTGGATAGGGAACTTTTATCAGTTATATATTCATTCAAATTTAAGCAGGATTTAAAAGAGTCAGTTCATGCTGAGTGATGAATTGATAACATCTAGCTCACTGTGTAAGGAAAAAAGGTATGTGGTCTGGCATGATAGATACATACAAATTTTGGAAGAAGGAAAAACAAAAACAAAATAGTAAGTTGAATGGAATTCATGCTCCTGCCTGGAGAATGTAGACATATTATTGTTACTATGAGAAATTGTTACCTTACTGATGATCCATCTAGTATAGCGTTTCCTTAAAGATTATCCACTTAAATGCTAGAAGGGAATAGTGTAATTTATAGCAGATTTACTTTTTATCTCAAAATAGGGTAAAAAAATCAGGCTTTTTACTTTTTAAATATTTATTGTATTGACTGACATGGGAAATCCCTTTCTATAAGCCACTTGAGGCAATGAGCCATTACAGTCTTCTGGAGACAGGATTGTAATTTCTTTGGCAAAGAAGCCCCTTAAGAATTTGGTGGAATAAACTTAACAAATGATGTAAATGACCTCTATAAGGAGAACTATAAAACCCTGAAGAAAGAGATCAAGGAAGACTACGGAAGGTGGAAAGATCTCCCATGCTCATGGATTGGTAGAATCAACATAGTAAAAATAGCCATACTACCAAAAGCAATCTACATGTTCAATGCAATTCCCATCAAAATCCCAATGACATTCATCACAAAGATTGAAAAATCTACCCTAAAGTTCATTTGGAAACACAAGAGACCGCGAATAGCCAAGGCAATAATACTCAGCAAAAAGAGCAATGCTGGAGATATCCCAATACCTGACTTCAAATTATATTATAAAGCAATAGCAATAAAAACAGCATGGTACTGGCACAAAAACAGACATGAAGACCAGTGGAACAGAATAGAGGACCTGGATATGAATCCTCACAGCTATGCCCACCGTATTTTTGACAAAGGTGACAAAAACATACAATGGAGAAAAGACAATGTTTTCAACAAATGTTACTGGGAAAAGTGGTTATTTGCCTGAGAAAAACTGAAACTAATCACCCTGTACTAGTATCAACTCAAAGTAGATTAAGGGCCTTAATATCAGACCCAAAACTCTGAAGTTAGTACAGGAAAGAGCAGGGAATACTCTGGAAGCCATAGGTATAGGCAAGGACTTCCTCAATAGAACCCCAGCAGCCCAGCAACTAAGAGAAAAAGGATGGATAAATGAGACTACATGAAATTAAAAAGCTTCTGCACAACAAAAGAAATGGTCTCTAAACTGAAGAAACCACCCACATCGTGAGAGAAAATATTTTCTGGATATATATCAGACAGAGGACTGACAACCAGAATATACAGGGAGCACAAAGAACTAAACTCCCCTACAATCCAATAAAGAAGTGGGCATCTGAACTAACCAGAACTTTTTCAAAGGA